TCGTGGTGGCTGGAATGAGAAGGACCCTGAGGAACTGAGAGGCGGGGGATTTATTGGAGTGTGTAAGGGGAGTGTCTAGGGGTATACAACAGTCTGAGGATTGGTGCACTTCCGGGTGTTGGCAACCTATCCTGTGTTGATTGGTCAACTGGTTGTTATGGTGTATAATCCCTCCCAGGGCAGTTGTTATGCTCTGCAAGGCACTGTTATGCCACTTTTACCATAAAGCATGTCCAGAGCCTGCCAGCTAACTTCTGATTGGTTCCTTGCCATGTAGAGGGTAATTTGACCTCCTAGTGAGTAGGGAGCTCTTGCAAGGTCAGAAGGCCAGAAATTAAGCACATGTGCTGAGCCAAGGGCATTTGTCTTGCTAGGTCTTTTTTGCAGCCTGTCATGGCTAGGTGAGGGTCTGCTCCCTGGAGTTCCAGGGGGTCCAACTCCTTCTCTAACCTCTGTGGGTACAGTTTCACATGGTACACATGACCATACAGGTGAAACACTCCTACACATTGAATTAAAAAACAAAAACTCTTAAGCAGTAAGTATAACTGGGATAACCTCTGAGATGGATTCTTAAAAGCCCCTGTTTCTGATACCTTATATCCCCTTATGATCCCAGTTTGCTCCAGTTATTGGTTAATCAGTCTCTTATGGCTTGGATTCCTTGGTAATAGGATATCAGAATATTGGGGAGAGGATGTGAGGCAGGTTTTAGAAAAGACTCAGTCACAGTCTGAGCTTAGTTACTGTGTAGTTGTATAGTGGGAATATTTCATTATGTTTTCCCTCTTGTTTATATAGCTAGGTCAGTCAGTTTTGTCCCTTTCAGTTTTGCCTTTTTCTAACTGTCATATGAATGAAATCACCCAAATATAGCCTTGGAGTTTCTCTTCTTTGATCAAGCATGCAGACTTGAAATGCATCTATATTGTGTTTTTGTTGGCTCAGTTTTATTTTCCCTGCTGTCCACCAAATGTTAGAGAAGTACAAATGGAGTTTTGTAGTAAAGAGAGGTATAGATTTATTGCTTCTGTATTCACGGGATGGGGAACAAGAGGAAAAGAAGCTGAGCCACAGAGAGCAAAGATGTGTACCTGCAGACAGAGCTTGGTGCTGTGAGCTGCTGACATGGAGAAAACCTTTGCATGTTGGTCCCTCCTTGCTTGCTCTGAAGGGAAAAATGGACTCTTAGTTTCACAAAAATGCAAGTGTCTTTTATCTGGGCCTATGCCTGTAACTGGTGGTGTGTTTGGACTTATCTCTGTCACAGTCTTCATTCTCTATTCTTAAATAGTTTTTCTTTTTCTGATTTTTCTGAAACTGGCATTTTTTTTCTTTCATACTTTCTTTTCCAGGTTATGGTATCTAGGTTATACTGACTGCGGTAAGTGAGATAGGATGTGTTTTCTTGTTTTGTTTTGTTACTCTTCTCTGGGGAAAATGTGTAAATTATTAATTATTCATTGAATGGAACCATTCCTTGGTAACATTATCAGGCACTGTGTTCTGCATTTTTTGTTTATTTGTTTTAACCTACTTATTCAGTTTCTTTGAGTGTTGTGGGACTCTTGTATTTTCTATTTCTTTTTTTCTTTTTTTTTTTTTTTGAGTCAGTCTTGATAAATTCTGTTTTCTGGATAGTTATCCATTTCTAAGTTTCAGTTTTATTAACGTGAAGTAAGTTAATAAAGTCCTGTTGTTATCTGTATATACAAACATGTGGAGGTCAGAGGACATGTACAACTATGTCTAGTATTTAGGTGGCTTCTGGGGAGCCAAAGAAAGGTCTTTAGGTATGAGGGTACATGGTTTACCCACTGCATCTCCCAGTCTGCACTCAACAGCTGTGATATGTCTTTTCTGCTACACTTAAATGGTTTACTTGCTCCCTCCTATTCTCTTCCTTCACCTTGCCATAAACTGATAAGTTGTACGATTCCTTTGGAAGAATTAAGCTCTCTGTGTGGCTTTGGAGGCTATCCTGGCACTCGCTCTGGAGACCAGGCTGGCCTCAAACTCACAGAGATCCGCCTGCCTCTGCTTCCCGAGTGCTGGGCTTAAAGGCGTGCGCCACCAACGCCCAGCTCCTACTTTTATTATTATCTTCTGTTTTCTTCAGATTAATTTGTTTCTCAGTGCTTTTATCATTTTCTGTAGCATTTGACAGTTTAACTACCCTGTCCTTCCCTTAGCTCTTGGGGACACTAGGATCAAGGATTACCTGCCTCCTTGCTTTCTAATTGCCCGTTTGTCTTCAACCTGTTTTTCTCTGTACCCATTATTAAATAGCTTTGGATACAAGATTACAAAGATTCAGCTTGTTAATTCTCTTCTACAGAATCTTTGACTCTGGCTTGTCATTTCTTGATGCAATCTAGACTACTTTGGTGTTTTTTTTTTTTTTTTCAGGCTTTCTAGACCATCATGTGTTTAATAATAATCATCTTACATTATTCATTGGCCAAGAACCCAATGAATAAACTCCTGGTTCTTTTTTCTAGTGTTCCAATTCTTCCGAGAATGCAAATCTAAGCATTACTTGGTTTTTCGTCTGAACATCTCATACTAAAATTTAGTTGGGGACTGTATGTGTATATCTGATCACCTTTCTTTTTAGCCTAGTTCAACAAGAATGGTTTCTCTGTAATATCTTTGTTTCACTCTCATCTTACAATGTCACAAATATCTTATTAACGACATTATCTACCTTTGTATCTTAAATTTCTGTATATATCTGAGTGATTGTGTGAGTGTCTTTTATTCTTGTGTCAATGACAGTCAGTTATAGGTACGAAAAAGGATGATAAGTGAAGACTCAGAAAAGCAAAGTGTACTATACTCACAGATCCTGGAGACAGGAGACGTGCGTGTGTGTGTGTGTGTGTGTGTGTGTGTGTGTGTGTGTGTGTGTGTGTGTAAAAGCCATCAGTTCGAAAAAAACGACGACAACAACAAAAATAAAAAACAAACAAGATGGAAGGTTTAGACCCCACCTTTGTTGGATTTTCCATAGGAATTGCATGGGAGGGCAGGATGAACACTCTAGAATTGATTTGAATCATTTTAATGCTTTGTATTCTCTAAGCCTGGGAGAGGTAGTCTCTCCTCAGTCAGAAAGGTTTTGTCAGATGCCAACACATCCTAATATTTTTGGATTAAAATATTTACAGTACAACTACCATATCTTTATCTCATCCCCTCCAGAGGCAAAGGCGTATCAATTAAACAGTGTTAAATGCTGATACTATTAGCAGCCATCTTTTGTACCCAGGTTGCTGGAAATCAGTCATAAAAGCTGAATGTAGAATTAGTGTATATGATTTGGGTGGACTCTATGAAAATAGGATATGTAATGGTGAACATTGGCACTTGTTTTAGAACTAGTGAAGCTGGTTGTGGTGGCACACATTTTCTTTTTAATTTTTATTTTATTTTATTAGTTCAAATTAGGAACAAGCTTGCTTCAGATGTCAATCCCTTCTCCCTCTCCCGCCCCTCCCCCACAACATCCCACCTGCCCCTAGCCATCCCCCCTCCACTCCCCAGGCAGGGTAAGGCCCTCAAAAGGGGCTCCCCAAAGTCTACCACATCATCCTGGGCCAGAGTGGCATACATTTTAATCCCAGCAGTTGGGAAGCTAAGGTAGGAGAGTCATGAGTTTGAGGCCAGCCTGGGCTCTGTGAGACCCTGTTTCAAAACCAAAGTGAGGGAAATATATATATATATATTCTGTACTTTGATATTGAAGAAATCATTAAACTATTTTATATAAAGGGTCACTTAACTATCACACTGCTGCTCATTAAGATGTTTTTATGAATAGTAAATCCTTGCTCCTCACAAAGTGACCAGTGAATGTCTTGTGTGCAAGTGAAGGGCTAAGTAGGATGACAGAGACCCTTTCTTGTAGTCTCTACCATCCTGTTTAAAAGTAAAAATGATCTCTTAGTTAAAGCCATTATAAATGCCATGCAAGTTTCAACCCTGGTTGCTGCAATCACTGTTTCTGTGTGTTCAGTATCTCTTACAGTTGATGGTTCTTTTTATTTTTGTGCCTCTTCTTAAGCATTGTTGGTATTGCATATTTATCCTACATTTTTAGAGAAGTCACTTGTCTTAGTTATTTTTATTGCTGTGCTGAAACACCATAACCAAAGCTACTTAATGGGTGGAGGTTTATTGGGGACTTATAGTTTCAGAGGATGAGTTGTGACCATCATGATGTGGAGTATGGTAGTAGGCAGGCAGGCATGATGCTGGAGCATAGCTGAGAGCTAACATCCTAAGATGCCAACCACAACCATGAGACAGAAAGGGCTAACAGGAGGGCATGGGATTTTGAAACCTCAGCGCCCACCCGCAATGACATACCTCCTTCAACAAGGGCATACCTCGGCACCAAGTTTTTAAATATGAGTCCATGGGGGCCATTATATAGTATAACATTTCCCTTTTCTCTTCCTTCAACTCCCTTCATATTCTCTGATGTGTCCCCATCCATGACTCTTGGAGGGGTTATGTTATCACCACTAAGTCCAACTAATGTTCCACATATGTGTATGGGTTTGGGGCCATCAACTGCAGCACAGGAAACATATTGAAAACACCCTCAAAATAGATTGGTTTTCTCTCAACTGCCAGTGGCTACTCATTAAGGGATGGAGCCTGGATGGTACTTAGCATTGTGCTAGAATTTTGGCTGGTTTGCTTTTGTGGATGTCTTGAGTAGGTAACTACAGATGCTGTGAGTTCATGAGTGCCAAACCCATTTCATCTCCAGAAAACAGCTTTTCATAGCACTTGTCTCCATCTTCTGGCTCTTTTCTGTCTCCTTTCCTCTTCTATGATCTATTCCCATTTTTCCAAATCTTTTATCTTTGAAGATATTTAGAAAAGTGATTATTAAAAACAAGTTCCTAGTGGATGCTGGTAACTAGGGGTTGAGTTCTTTGCTCCATTTTAATTCAATTCTCTTAATAGTTATTTTGCTTGTTTTCCAGGCACACAAACGAATGGTCTGGACTTTCAGAAACAGCCTGTACCTGTTGGAGGAGCAATCTCAACAGCCCAGGCCCAGGCTTTCCTTGGACATCTTCACCAGGTAGACTACTGTTTCACCCATCCATATCTGAGAATGCTTTTTAAAGGAACATAAAGTAAAATGCTAGGGCAGTCATTTCAAACCATGTGTAACTATCCTGCTGTGTGGTTCATGTAGAGTTAATAGTTTTTGCATAGCTATTGACTCTACAACTGTGTGAACAAAAGATTATTTTGTTGGGATATAATGAAACAGTTAGTTCATGCATGAACATGAGCTTAAATCTTTGATGGCTAAGTGATGCTAGTAGATAACCAGGGTCATTCAAAAGTAAGTTACCACTACACTAAAACCATAAAAAACCAAGTTTTAGCTTTCTACCCTGATATGTAATTCCCCCCAGTCTAAAACAGAACATGAGTTCTGTTCATTTAATTTACATTACCAAAATCAAAATGTCATTATACTACAAAACTATTCAAATAAAAGACCTGTTCTACTTGAAAATAGGTGAAATTCTAGGAAAGTATCTGTAAATGGCGATTTTCTCATCTAGTCTGGGACCCACTGGACCTGTTTTCTCTTCACCTACCAGGTGCCACAGCTGCTTAGTGAAAACCATTCCAAGACTTAATATATATCTATAATTGTTTAGCCAGTGGCTTAGGCATCTTACTGGCTATCTCTCTCTTAATTATTGATCCATAACTATTAATATGTGTATCTCCATATGGCCTTATCTTACTGGAGAATGCCCAGGCGTCCTACCTTCCTGATAGCTAGATCGCCTTTCCCTGACTCAGCCTATTACCTTCCTCTGTCCTTGGTCAGCTTACCTGCCTGGCTAAATTCTGTCTGTCTATTGGCAGAAACAGCTATATTCATCAACCAATGATAGCTACACATATTTGCAGCAAACAGAAGGACGTCACATACCAACCATCCTCAAGTTTGTTTTTAAATGAAGCAATGAGTCATAATTTTCTGCAACTCTGTTCAGCTAGTTGCCTGGATCCTTATACAATAGCTTTCATATTCTCTGCTGTTCGTTTTCACTACCACCATTCCATTTTAATCTTCCATTTATTCCAGTCTAGTTTATAATCTTTCTTCTCCCTTCTTAGTCTTTCTTTACTTTCACGGCATTATTAACCTTTGAGGGCTGCAAGATATTAGGAGACAACCAAATTCTTCAATAAGTAAATATTTAATGTCTAATTTTTTAAATTTTTATTGTTTGGGTTCCCCCCACCCCCCAGATGGGGTTTTCTCTGGGTAGCTTTGGAGCCTCTCCTGGCACTTACGCTGTAGACCAGGCTGGCCTTGAACTCACTGAGATCCACTTGTCTCTGCCTCCCAAGTGCTGGGATTAAAGGTATGCTCCACCACTGCCCAGCTATAAATATTTAACTTTTAAAAACATTTTTATAAGAATACAAATCAGGAAGGTTCCTCAATTTGAGCTTGTCTTTCTTGTTATGATTAGATTTTTGATTCAAGTTACCCATCTTTGGTAAGGTTACAGCATAAGAAATACAGTGCTTGCAACAGTAGGCAAGTCTCATTACTGGTAGCACTAATTATTCAGTCGGCTTGCCAGGTAGCCCTCCCTGTGAAGTTACTGTTGTACCCTTTGTAATTCTCAGCATCTGTGGAGAAATACCTTATTCTTGCTTTGCCCATTAGTTAGATGATGTGTTGATGACTTTTCTAAATCAGGTTTCTATCTCGGTTTCCAAGTGATAGTTTTCTAATTTCATGTGTGCCCTTACTTTAATATGACTATGATTTGATCTTTTGAAATATGAATTAAGACTTTTTTCATGTATGGCTTATAGGATAGATTATTATCTATTTCATTTGTTTATAATGATAAAAACAGTGTATATTGATAGTCTGTTTTCTTGTGTTCTTTAAAACAATGTGGAAGATATGTTAGGTTTTCAGAACCTAAGCATACTATGAGTACAAATAGAGTATTAAATAAGGAGCACCCACCCAGTGCACGTGTGGCATGTTTAATAGTGCTCATTTTGTGATGATTCTAATTTAGAAGACATTTCTGCAGTATGTAAAGTTTTAACCCCATAAAATATATATTTGTATGTTCAATTCTAATTCTTGGTGGTATACACTTAGTATTTGAAGTATTTCTTGATGGCAGTCTGGTGATGAATGACACTATTTTAGATTATTATATCCATTGATAACTTTCCTCCTAGGTCCAGCTCGCTGGGACAAGTCTGCAGGCTGCTGCTCAATCTTTAAATGTTCAGGTAAGCTGTATATGAGCATATAATTCATATCTTCTATTAATTTTTTCATAATTTACTATAATAAGCACATAATTTTGAATAGGGACTACTTGGGATTTTTACTACTTAATGATTTTATTATTTCTATATTTTTATTGCTGAACCCAGATGGTAATAATTGTTATTAATGAAAGTTACCTTAATCTGTTACTGTGTGTGAGCCAGAGGAATACAAGTGAAGTCCACTTTCAGAATTTTAGAATGAAGTTCAGGAATACATACTGAACCTAAAACCAAATAGTTTCTTAAGTATCCTTCTGTTTATCATTTTTCATGAAACCTGGACAGAGAATCGGGGAACTTGGGCGTCAAAGTCTCATTGTACCAGTAATTAATTAGCTGTTATGAACTTTGGCAAGTCACAGCCTCTTAGAATTCAGTTTTGCTTGCCTGTATTTAAATAAAGACACTGGTAACATTGTAAGTGGTCTTCTCTGATCTGTACAGAAGTTATATTAAAGGGCACTGGAGTAATCATTTAGTAATTAAGAGCAGCATATTACTGCTCTTTACAGAGAACTCACAGTTTAGTTCCCACAGCAGGAGGCTCAGAACCATGTGTAACTACAACTCAGGGACATCTGACGCGCTCTTTTTGCCTCTGTAGGAACCAATACATATGTGCACTGACACACATATACACATAATTTAAAATAATAACAAATCTTTACTTAAGAAAAAAGAAAAGCAAGACATTGGTCGGATAATCAAAATTATAAAATGGAACTTAAATCTGGAGTTTGTTTTTTGTTTTGTTTGTTTTGGTTATTTATTTATTTATTTATGCTTCTGTAAGCTATCAGATAAAAGATTCACGGCTCATTTATTTTACACACAACTCCATAACTGTTCAGTCGGTCTTTCATTGTAGTGTTTAGGAAACTAGCAGTCAGGAGGGAAAAACAGGATTCTAGAAGACTGATTTCAGTGCTGCTAAAGACTAAAGATTTTGGGGTGAACATTCTATGAAACCTTGTGGAATATGGACCTAGTAACACGTGGAAACAAGAGAAAAGGAGATAATATGACCCTCCTTTCTGAGGGAGAGGAGGTAGAAAATTGCCTTGGTTGCCATGGTAAACTTAACATCCCTTAGAGAGATGTTGGCAAACAGGCTATATCTCCAGTGCAGAATGTTTACTGTCCTGCACTATAATTATCTTTCAATGACTGGCAGAATTAATCAGAGCTTTTATGTTAATTAGCTTGCTGCAGTCCCCCAAACAGGTGGTGGAAAATATGCAAATCTATGCAGAATTTTAATACTCTGTATAACCAGTTTTAATTAGCATAAAAATTTCTCTCTCTAGCCCTTTAAGGCCTGTAAATTCTTCTTGTCTATATCATTTTCCTTTAAGCTTGTACATTACTTGGGTAGAAGATACTGCATTTAGAGTTCTTTTAAAATATAGATTAAAAAGTTCTGTGGGTTAAGTAATTGAGCTGTAAGATAGTATATGAAGAGTTTTGAAATTTGCCACAAGGTATATGTCAAAGTGTTAATTTGAAGAGTCTAACAATAGAAATGAATTGAAAATCATTTTTCCTCTTCATTGCCTGAACTGGGGATTTGAGGTTGTGAAAGCTTTTGTTGATTTGTAGAGGACCATTTTAGTTTCTCTTTTAAAAATTTATGATTGAAATTTTTCTGGCATTGGAATTAAAACGTTGTAAGAGTACTTAAGTAGAAAAAAAAAAGGCATGTAAGAAAAGAAAAACAGAAAACCTCCCAAATGAAAGATTGAATAGCACATATTTTAAATAATCTTTGAATTTTTAGAATTAGAAGTACATTTCATTTTACCAACTGTTTGAGATATTTTATTTCCTGTCCAATTCCACTTCAGTCTAAATCTAGTGAAGAATCAGGGGATTCGCAGCAACCAAGCCAGCCTTCCCAGCAGCCTTCAATGCAGTCAGCCATTCCCCAGACCCAGCTAATGCTGGCTGGGGGACAGATAACTGGGGTAAGTTTCCATTGAGAAAATTGTAATAAACTTCCTCTGTGTCTGAACTGCTAATGGTTGACATCTTATTGAAACTGTTCACTGCTCTGGTATTAGCACGGCACTATTATGATATCTGTAAGGACCTTCCTGGATGCAGAAGCTCTGGAAGAATTACCTTTGTCATTACTTTATAAGATTTCTTTTGTTACAGCTGTAGATGTTGAGAATAAACTGCAAACCTTTTAAACCACATTTAAAAAATGGTATTGCATATGCATGGTAAAATTGGAGGTGTTATTACAGGATAGTTAAAGAATGGACTAATACCCTAAAAGAACAACATTTTCTTGAAGTGACTTTGTAATGTCCTAAAATAAGACATGTGGTTTTATATCCTGGCTGTGTATTTAGTAATTACTAAAGGATTAGTTACTTTATCCCTCCATCTCTCAGATTTTCATCTTCTAAGTGGAGGTATTAATAATATCTATTTTAAGTACCATTGCAATTAATTTTAAAAAAAAACTGTTAAAACAGTGCTTGGCATGTAGCTTTCAATAAATGTTGCTTATTTTTACGGTTAACAAATTGCCCTCCGTGACTGTTAAGGTTTTAAGTATTTAGCGATTTCTGTTCTAAGCTATTATTTGGAATAATTTTTTAATGTTGAAAGCTTATGTGTTATCTTTTGTGAAGACAGTGAGTCAGGAATGATAGGAAAGAATCTAACCAATTCACATCATATCAACCTTCAGCATTCTTTGTAATTTAATTTTTGCTAGTATGAACAATGGATGGTTGTTCTTGCACATTTATTTATAATATTCTATCACTAGAGATTAACATATGTACCTGTATTATATAATGTATACATGTACACACACATTTTGAAGACTATTACATTTTTGAATAGTTTTGCTTTGGTTCTTATGTTTCTAATACAGAAATTATTTGGATAAATTAGGTCCTGTTAGAAAGCAGGCTGTGCTGCTGAATGCCTTTCATTGAGATATAGGTATTAGTATACTTGTTTGATCAGAATGTATCACCGCAGAAAGCCCCAGCACACTCACTACTTTTGAAATGCTATGCTGTTAAAGTTTACGTTTGTTCTAAATAGATTTCTTACTTCATTGTTAGGGTTCAGAAGAAAGACTAATGTCTTAAAATAGTATCAGGCACTTAAGATTCCAGGTTTGTGTACCTTGAAGATTTTATTAAATCTGGGCATTCATATTCATTTGCATTTAAAAGAGTGGCTCTTACCACCTGTTTCCTGGAGCTAATAAATTGGAAAGAGTATGTAAAGTTGCAAACCCGATGCTGTTCAAGATTGGGTGAGGGAAGGTCTTCTGGGATATTTGGTAAGCAAAGAAGTGCAGCTCATGTTCGTTAGTCACATCTTAAGACATAATGGAAATGGTGAAATATGGTGGGGATTCTAGCTAATGGGAAGCAGCTGGGCTTTATCAGTTCTCTTCCTAGTCATACACAGCAACCGTTTGTCCCTTACTCACCTGACTAATCTCTTGCTATTAGTTGTAAATTTCTTCATATATCCTGTCAGTATTGATTCTTTGTTTTCTTGTGTACCAGTTAATTACCTTTCTTGCCTAAATGATTTTTCAAGTCTGAAATGGGGACAACTTCAATTTAAATGCTCTGCTAGTACTGGTGGTTTGTCATTGGTGGGCAGTGGAAATGTAAATGTAAAAATGTGTAGTGAAGATGTAATACCACTTGAGTTACCTGTTTGCTTGCATTACAGGCCCCATTTCTTCAATCTTCCCTTGTTTATTCTTATTTTAGCTCACTTTGACACCAGCCCAGCAGCAGTTATTACTACAGCAGGCCCAGGCCCAGGCCCAACTCCTGGCTGCTGCAGTGCAGCAGCACTCTGCCAGCCAACAGCACAGTGCTGCTGGTGCCACCATCTCAGCCTCTGCTGCCACACCCATGACACAGATCCCCTTGTCTCAGCCTATACAGATTGCACAGGTGAGTGAGGCACAAGGCCACAGGGACTTCAAACAAGTGATAAAATAGAAAAGTGTTACTGAATACTGTTAGCCTTCTGGTTGTTACTGTGGGTCTTCAAAAGCCCAAGGAACTCTATATCAAGGAGGCATTATCCTTTTTCACTGAGTCAGAAATAATACACTTGTTCGCTTATTTGAGTTGATATTATAAATACATAGATGATTATTTGGATAACTGAATGCTTATGTTAAGTGACAATTCTTTGAGTAAGTAGCTGGCATATTTCTGAGGCAAGGAGTTATGGTATTTATCTCAATGAGCTAATTATAGCAGGGAAGAAGAACTCTTTCATGTGCTCTGCAGAAAATGTTGCCATTCTGTGAGAAAGAAAGACAGCAAGTCCTCTTTCTGCTTGGAGTGATTAGGATCATGGAGAGCCACAGGAAAATGTTACAGGATCTCAGTTTTCACATTTTAGAAGATACAAAAATTTACTTAAGTAATAAAGAATGGGGCCCAAAAGGAAAATAAGTGAAATCCTTTATGTCAAGGAAATGAAGGGGGCGTGTGAGAAGTTATATATGACATGTATAGAGAAGTTTTATGCACTAAGCAGTTGTCTTTATATCCCCACAAAAGAAGGGAAGTGCATTTAAGCTGTATTAAGAGCCAGATACTTGAAATGCAATCAGACTCATCTGTATTACTGTGTAGACAGTCTGTTATCAAGATAGTGTTTTTACTTGAATCATCTTCTTCATCAAATAAATTATTTTAGTAAATGAGCTTTGAGACCATGTCTGAAATTAAGATAAATAAAATCATTTATTCCTAACACTGATTTCTCAATTGAATTGGATAAACCGGTATCAAATTTCAGGCATTAGATCTTTTTCATTTATTGATGGAAATTTGGATCTAGCACTCTCAATTTTTATTTTAGAGAAAAATTGGGGTAAATATTTAAAAGCCTTTTTAAAGTTCATGTTAGTTTTTCTTTAGACCAGATCTAAAGGAACAGAACTTAAAGAATAAATACATATCAAAAGCAGTAGAGTAGCTTATAGGCTGTGGTCTGGCCAGTCCAACAATGGCTATCTGTCAGAGGAAAGGCCAAGAATCCAGTAGTTGTTCAGTCCATGCCGCTGGATGTCTCAGCTAGCCTTTAGTCTACCTTGGACTCCTGAAGAAGTAGATTCACTTTTGGTTTTTCGAGACAGGGTTTCTCTGAATAGTTTTGGAGCCTGTCCTGGAAGTCACTCTGTAGACCAGCCTGGTCTGAGATCTGCCTGCCTCTGCCTCCTGAGTGCTCAGATTAAAGGAGTAGATTCTAATGTCAGCAGAGGAATGCCTCAGCAACAGGATAGATGAACTTAACCAGAGAGAGTAAAAACAGGCAGACGAGGAGCAAAACCTTCCTTCTTCCATGTTCTTTTATATGGGCTACCACCAGAAAGTGTTGCCCAGATTTAGCAAGGGTCTTTCCATGTCAGATGTTCCAATCAAGAAAATCCCTCATGGGGATGCCCAGCTGCTTGTGTTTTAGTTAATTCCAGAGGTATTCAAGTTGACACCCGAAATTAGCCTTCAGAATACTAGCAGGTGGAAGTAGAGAATTAAGTCCAGAGTTCTCTTCTGACTTCCTCATATATGTGTGCCACGTGCAACCCCCCCCCCCCCACACACACACTAACAACAATAATAGAGTTTTAAAATTGAAAACAACCTACCCTAGAATTGTAGACATTTATTCTATATTTATTTACTCTGGCAGATTTTAAGTAACTGTTGGTAATTGGCTTGGCATAAGTCATGATGCTATATACATCATGCCCTCAAAAATGCAACTGCTTGCAGAGGCCGTAAGGTTTTTTGGTTTTGATACTTGCTATTTTTTTGTGTGTGTGAGTCAGGGCAATTCTCAGGAGCCAGTTCTCTTCTTCCACCATGTGCTCTTGGAAGCTCTTCAATCAACTGAGCCTCTCTGGCCTGAAGCCTGAGGATTGCTCACATACTGACACAGTCCTGGAAGCCAGACTATGCTAAGTGTTGTCTCATTGTTACTTAGTATGACAGAAGTCGTCATCTAGGAACCTTACCACTAAGCCAGCTTTCATTTCTGGATCTCTCTAATCTGTGTTTTGCTTCTGAGCTTTTAGGATCTTCAACAATTGCAACAGCTTCAACAGCAAAATCTCAACTTGCAACAGTTTGTGTTGGTGCATCCAACCACCAACTTGCAACCAGCACAGTTTATCATCTCACAGACCCCCCAGGGCCAGCAGGGTAAGCATCTCCCTAAAGCTTACTATTGGTGCAGCAATGCTGTCTACTTAGAGTTCCAGACACCTTAACTAACATTTTTGCCCTAACAGTATCCTTGTGAGCAATTCTTTCCTTAAATTTTGGTTTCATGAGAACTATAAGTAATGCCTTAAATCAGGAACAAAGGTTACATGTCTGAATAAGAATGAAATTTCAAATCTGAAAGATCAATAAAGACTAGCTTATTCTTAAGAAAGAAATAATTTCTCAGGAAATTTACAGGAGTTTGACAACCTGAAATCATACAGCTTAATCATTTCCAAGGCTGTTTATTTACAAGTCATTGGATGAATGAGAAGGGTAGGTTTCTGAGTCCCAAAATTTTAACTAGTTCTCTGTGGAGTTGAATTTGAATGTCTAAAGTCTTAAGCAGAAAAGTGACATTAGCCATTTATATTAAGAAAACATATTTACACTTAAACTTGGAGAGGCTGGAATAGGCAAGAATAGAGTTAGTAATATTGGTCTGCAGAATTCTGCAAGATACCATTGTCCAAGACACAAGCTGAACTATGATCTTGAGAGCGGAAAAGAGAAAATAATGAAGCAGAAAGAAAAGGACTTAAATGTGGCGGCACATCCTAACACTTGGGAATCTGTCAGAGGCAGGAGGATCTCTGAGCTTAAGACTGGCTTGGTTTATATATAGTGAGACCCTATCTCAAAATAAACTAAAAACCAAGAAAGGACATGGAGACCAGTTATATTTGGTCAATTATAAGGAATAGGCATCTAGGTGATTAAGTTTTTAGAAAACTGTGAGTATTGATAGATCAAATAAAGAGAATGTGTTCACACTAATGGGAATGCTTTAATAAAACCAGCAGTTGGAATTGCAGGGAGATGTGGCAGCCAGTAAAAAGTGATTATTACAATGAAAGAGAATTCCAAGAGAGAAGGAAGAAATGGTCTATCTAGACCAGAAAGACTTTCACAGGCTGCTGCTGAAGAGTGTGTGTGTGTGTTAGATTGGCAATTGTTCAGACCTTAAGACTGAATGAGATCACTTTTCTGTAGTTTTTTACAAAGCCCAAGGATATTACTTTTTTCATATTTGAGCCTTTATAAGACAGGTAAAACAGGAAATGGCTATTCCAATTTTTTTGTGTTTGTATGTTCTTTTGGTTTTTCGAGACAGGGTTTCTCTGTGGCTTTGGAGACTGTCCTGGTGCTAGGTTTTGTAGACCAGGCTGGTTTCGAACTCACAGAGATCCTCTGCCTCCCGAGTGCTGGGATTAAAGGCATGCGCCGCCAATGCCCGGCCCTCGTGTTTGTATGTTCCTAATTTCTTTCTTTCCATCCTTTCATAGGATTGGGAAAACAGCATATAGTGGATAGGAATACTGGTTGGCTTTAGAGCAAACTTAGGTGGACAAACCACCTAAGTTTTCTGAGTATCACATACTTCTCTTCTCATCTTCCCCTTTATCCTTTTCATCTTTCCCTTTAATTATGAATACATCATATAAAATGTTTTATTAATATAATTGTAATGTAATAGAAAGCACATACACTGTAGTCTAAAGCCAAGCTGTCTGTCTGTGAAGAAATATAATTTTCCTGAGCCTCTGTTCCTTACCTGAAGTGTGAGAGTAATTTTAGGATTTTTGTTCAAAAATTGTAGGATTCAGTTAGGAAACAAATGTAAGTAATTTCTGAAAATGTGCCTTATCCATTAGTAACCTTTTAATTTTTACCACTAATACCATTGACATCATCATATATCAGCAGCAGTCCATAGATAAAACTTAGAGAATGAAAAGTTTGTTCCTTTATACAATAAAAACTAGCTTGAAAGTAATTGGGACTCAGGAAATTGCTCAGTGGTTAAAGCACTTGCATAAGCTTAAGGACCCATATCGTGGCTTGGAAGGGCTCCAGAAGCCCATATAGGAATAGCAAGTTTGATAATCTAGCCAAGTCAGTTTCAAGTGAGAGACCCTGATTCTGTATATAAGGAGAGAAGGATTGAAGAGACTTCTGTCTTAACCTCTGGCCCACAAAAGCAGGTGTATGCACATACCCATATACATAAATTTCTGTAATAAAAATCGCAGAAACCTCAGTTGCTATTAAACTTCTTAAGACTATCTGCATTCCAAAAAAAAAAAAAAAAAAAAAAAAAAAAATCTAGAGGCAGCTTGTTCCACCGCTGTTGATTTGTAATCCTAATAATATAGGACAGAACCTTATTTCATCTAATAAGAACGATTAGCTTTATTTCCAGGAGAGTCACTATGATTAATAGTAACTCAAAATCTGATTCAGTCTTCTTCAGTTTTGTGTGGAGACGACAAGGATTGGATTTTAATAACAACAACAAAATATTTCTAGTGGGAGATTAGCCTCAAATTGAGCAATCATTTTTGCTTTTCTTGAGGGAGGGAATGTTGTTAATCTAAATATTTGAAAGTATAGTTTATAATATTCATAATATCACTGTAGTTATATAATTACTTAAAAACTAACAAGAGAAATAATATCCTCCCAGAATTGATTTTTCTTGAAAAAATTCTTACTGATATGCTTCTGAGTCATATTTCATGGCAACTTGTATTCTGCCTTTTCTACTGTCAACATTAATTTTAAAACTAAAGAAACACTTTTGTTAGAAAATACTGAATTTTGGCCAGGTGTTGGTGGTGCACGCCTTTAATCCCAGCACTCAGGAGGCAGAGGCAGGCAGATCTCTGTGAGTTCGAGGCCAGCCTGGTCTCCAGAGCGAGTGAGCCTCCAAAGCTACACAGAGAAACCCTGTCTCGAAAAACCAGAGAGAGAGAGAGAGAGAGAGAGAGAGAGAGAGAGAGAGAGAATGAGAATTCTGAATTTTGTGTTTGGGGAGTCTATTATTCTAGGGTGGGGATACTACAAAGTCTTGGCCCTCACGGAAGTGCTAGGCCTCTCAGCCCTTTCAGCATCTCAGCTGACCTTAGCTAGCAGGGAGGTAGGGATAAGATGACTTAAAATTTGAATTAGTTTAGAATATGCTACTGTGAACGAAAATTAACCATTCAGTATTATAATTTGATTAAATATGGCTATTTAAGTGCTGTTACCAAAGAGAAGCAAATATCCAACTTTCCTGCTAAACTTTAAAGAAACTCATCGCTAATTTCTGAGTCTGTACTTCTGTTTCATTTTTCATGTATTAGAATCTTGTTTTTATTCTTTTCAAAATAGTTTTAATAGATTAATTCTGACTATTGACATAAATGTTTTTTCCTCACTAGACAATAGTTTTGACTGTGTTCAAACCCGTAAAATCTACAATTACAGTTAATTTGCTCAGCAGTCTGTTGAGTGCCTGATAAGTATCATATATCATCCTAATTATTGGAGTTAAAATTTTCAGCAAGGTGAAATCCTCTGTTCTTATTTGGACTCAGACAGTAGTAAACCTAAACAAATGACTTGGATGACAGTATATCCAAAGAAGATGGGAGATGTGACTGACTTGGTAAAAGTTAACACGTGGAAGATGGGGTGTGTGGTATGAAGAAAACTTGCCTAGAGAGTGATGCCTGAACTGAGAACTAAGGAGTGAGGTGGAAACCTCTGCAACTAGGTGGGGATTTGGATGACTGGCCTTGTAAGCAATGAAGTATACAGAGAACCTGAGGGGAATGAGCCAAGAAAGGGAATACCAGTGTAACTAGAGATTAATGAATGAGAAAAAGTGGTAAGAAATGAAGTATAAGAACTTAGGCAATGGTTGGGGAGGCAGCTCACTGGTAAGTCTTGCCATGCTGAGTGAGTGTGGTAGCTCCACTTGTAATTGCAGAACTTGGAAGACAGAAACAGGATCTCCAGAACAAGCTGTTTAGTTAGACTATCCTAACAGAATTTGGGGTTCAGTCGAGAGTTCTTTCTTCAGTGAATAAAGTGGACAGTGATTGAGGAAGACTATGCACACATACGTAAGAGGAAGAAAAAGCAAGCAATACAGAACGAGATTTCCTAGAACTAAACAGATACTCTATTTTAAGTGTAATGGAGTGTTGTGTTGGTTTGCTGGTGTGGCGTGGTGTGGTCTGGCTGTGGAGCACAGGTGGACTTTGAACTTTTACATTAGCTTCCCATATGCTGAGACTGCAAACATGTACCACCAAGCCTGGCTCATTGTTGTTATGTAATCAAGCTTAAATACTTTGTAAACTTGAGCTGTAGAGAGGCTAGAGAGTAGGCTTAGTGGTTAACAGTGCTAACTTGTGCTGCTTTTGCCAGGTGCCAGGTTTAACTGCCAGCATTCACTTGGCAACTCACAACCATCTATAACTCTAGCCCCAGGGGAGCTAGTTCTTATGTACATGCAGGCAAGACACTCATACACATAAAAGAAAGAAATGTTTAAAAAAATTATTTTAAGATTGTACCATAGAGAGATATTTGGAAAAACATGGTAGTCATTTAAGCATGAGTAATTTTTTCTGAATCTGACTTTTAAGTTTTTGGCCATGTATATTCAATTTACTTAGTTTTAACATAGTTGCTATCTGATACAAACAAAAGGGCTCTCTCAAATCAAATCTATTTAGTATATTTGTTGTATTGGGGATCTACATTGTCAAATAAACCACCTATGTTAATTTCTTAAATTTAAGCAATGGCTACCTACAAACAAATGATAAAACCTAATATGTTTAATTTTTTATTGTTGTCTTATGTATTCCACTGTATCCAAGTTTAATAGCTAAGAAAATCTGAAAGATGTTGTTAACCCACCATAACTTACTGTCTCTCATTTCCAGTTCTGCTATCTCATCACAACCTTATATTTAGTATTTCAACATGATTATATTTGAAACTAAGTACTTAGATTAATTTCTTTGATGCAGTTTTATTCTGGGTTGCTCCTGTATTTATAACATTACAAAAAACCCAACAAATCCTATAGACTTAAATAATGACTGAGTATGTACTATAAATACTTCCAGGCGTTCAAAACAAATTTGCATTATGTTGTCCAGCCTGGCCTCTAACTTTGGGGCTCAAGTGACCCTCCTGCTCCAGTCTCCAGAGTAGCTGGGTCTACAGGCATGCACCTTTACACCCATTTTACTTATTGTTGGGTATCTCCCCTGTAGCTGCCCTCTGCACACCCTGCCCAACCCAAAGAAAATCTCCCATGTAGTAGCTCCACCCTGTGAGGGTAGTTAAGGTCTGACCCACAGACTTCCCCTCGTGGTTTCCCCTTGTAGCTTCTTCTCTTTCTTGGGACCACCTGGCTATGTTTTGCTTTGATTAAACCTGCACTTATTAATTTGTCTGATCTGCATCCGCAGAGAAATCAACTACCAGGATACGGGAACTTTTCACTTATCAATAACCTTTTTGTTTTGTTTTGTTTTGGAGATATGATTTCTCTGTGGCTTTGGAGGCTGTCCTGGAACTCACTCTGTAGACCAGGCTGGTCTGGAACTCACAGAGATCCACCTGCCTCTGCCTCCTGAGTGCTGGCATTAAAGGCGTGCACCACCAACTTTTAAACTGAGATTGTTTAGTGCATATGGTTGTTTACATGTCACCTTTATGTGCTAAGAACTTGAAAGCAGCATCTTCTCCCACTACAGGATTGCCTGCTTCGTCTAGAAATCTAGTCCCTGTTCCCAAGATTCCTTAGAGCAGCTTTTCTCTATCTGTGGGCCGACACCCTTTTGGGGGTCAAAGGACTCTATCATAGGAGTTGCATATCAGAGATCCTGCATACCACATACTGCATTGTGACTCATAACAGCAAATTGCTGTAATGAAGTAGCAATGAAAATAATTTTATGGTTGGGGGTCACCACAACATGAGGAACCCAATTAAAGAGTCAATGTGTTAGGAAGATTGAGAACCACAGTGTGAATTTTGGGTTAAGAAGTTGAACTTACCTTTAAATTCCCAGATGCTTTGATTTGAGTAGATCCTCATGCTCTTCCTCTTTTTAGGAAATAAAGTTCTTTCAAAGAACTTACTCAGATTACACTAAAGACCTAAAGGTTTGATTTAATGTTACATATTTTCATGCCATCTGTGTTTAATATGATTAACTTTAGCCAAAGAAATTAGATGTTAATCTGAAGATCAACAAAACTACCAGGAATCCAGTCAGAAACTTTGAGTTTATATTCTTTCTTATCCCCCTGAAATACTTATTTTTTACAGGTCTCCTGCAAGCGCAAAATCTTTTAACGCAACTACCTCAGCAAAGCCAAGCCAACCTCCTACAGCCACAGCCAAGCATCACCCTTACCTCCCAGGTCTGTTTTCTTACTCCATTGTTTTACTAATTTAAAAATTAAAGAAAAACACCCCCCCGTAATAACAATCTCAGGTGTTCAGAAGCTTACCAAAAACACAGTGCTGGACTTACTAGCTTGATAAACCAATGTTACCAAATTTATCCTTAAGTTCATAATGAATAGTCATGTTAGTAGCTGACTGATGTTGATAAATAGGAACACTGAAATGAAAGACCTAGGAATTCAGTCAAAATGTGTCCTTTGTCATTTGCCCCCTGCTAAAATGGCGAAGGAACTTGTATTCTGTATTTTCTCAGTACTTCCAGTAATTTTACTCTTTAAAATGAAAGTACAAAGATCTGTATATGCTTATAATAGATTAATTAATAAATTACCCCAAACTATTCATCAGATAGTAAGTTACATAAACTTATGAATAGCCATGTGATACATTTCTATTCAGCAATAAGAAGAAATGTACTTCTGAAAGCTACAGTTGCATGAATGAATTTCAAAAGCCTTACACTAAGTGATAGAAGCTGGGCTTTAAAAACTGAGTATTGTATGATTTCAGTTTACATAACATTTTAGAAAGGACAGAACTATCGGAATAGAAGTCCTATCAGTGCTTGTCAAGAAGAATGATAATGAAGATTAATGGCAAAGGGCTCAGAAAAAATTTGGGCAAGGATGGTAAAGACAATCTATATATTAGTAGTTATACAACTACTTAGGTGGAAAAGCATCACTGCAGTTTTAAATGGTAAGTTTTTTAATATACTGCATGCAAAATATATATACCGGAGACTTTCTGGCCTGCATGCTCTGTACATGTAGCAAACTTCATCCTGATTCTGCTCACTAAATGCTATTCCACCATTCTATATCTGGCCCAGTTCAGGCAGGGATTTTAGAGTAAGATACCAGATGTTCAAAGATACCCAAGCTATTTTTAGTTCATTATTATTTGACAAAGAGGCTACTTGATGCTGAAGGTGAAGGTACAGTCTAATAGTTGAGATCACCTCCGTCTGTCCACCATAGTCACTGTGCTAAGGATTCAGCAACATGAGATTCTAATGTATTTGGTGTCCTGTGTAGCTCCTCAAAAGGCAATGTTAAAATTACTCAATGTCAGCATGTCATGGAGACATGCTTTATTGTCTTTACTGAAGCAGTATAGCAGAGGGATTTGCCCCAATTATTATGTCATGCCTCTTATATAGTTTTCTGGGTCAGTTAGTTCCCTTGGAGAAAGCCTTAATGAGGTCAAGGTTGGGTAATATAGGGCCTGTGTAAATTACAAGAAGAAAATCTTGGTTTATAATCTCACCTGCACTGCCGCTCATAGGAGGGTCCAGCTGAGCAATTAGCATGCAGAATTCGGAGCACATCTATTTAGTGAACACTCAGAAGGAAGGCTCTACTTAGTACTTGTGAGTACAATAGAGTTGCCTGGTGTTTGAATGAATCAATGGTATTTTCTTTAAAATAGAAAGAAAGAGGGGATTGGAGAGATAGATGGCTTAGTAGTAGGACTCTGGCTGCCTTCCAGAGGACATGGGTGTGCTTTAGCTCCAGTTCCTAGGGATCCAGAGCACTTTTCCAGCCCCTGCAGGCACTGCATGCATATGGTGCACTGTCGTGCACTGAGGCACAGACATAAGATTGATGGGTGGCGCGGTGACAGGACTGTGCCGTATGTCCCCAAATAAGCTCTAGATAGGAATCAGGTATTGTATCATTAGAAAGAACTTGTCTCTTTTTACCCAAAGAAATTACATCACTGAGAAATAACTACAGCTTTCTTTTTCAAAGTAAGATAGTAGCAATGGAGAAAATTCACAAAAATTTAAGTTTAAAGTTTGTACACACTGAAAAAAAATTAAAAGCTGAATGAAGGAATTATTTGTACAAATATAAGAAGAGGGTATATATGCCATAATATTTGAAGAATTAACTGTCCTAAACTAAGAGTGAGAATAAAGATATCATTAATGTGATTGAGACCTGATATCCAGTACAAGGAAATACAGGTAATAATTGATACATGGAAAGTGTCTTGCTTAAGAGAAGTATTGTGTCAAAGGTGATGTACCATTTACTCCCTGGTGAACCAAATACTGTTTTAAGCTGAGAATACAAGCCCTGTGTCAGAAGCATGACATCATTTATCCAGTTGCCAGGAAAAATCCTTCATAAATTTATCCTACGGAACTTTCTGCTGGTGGTAGTGGTACCTGCTTAATCCAAGTACTGTGGAAATTGAGGCAGTGGATTACATAGTGAATTCCAGGCCAATCTGGGCTACGGTGTATTGGAGGAAGGAGGAGGAGGTGCTGGGGGTGCAGGAGCAGATATTTCTTTTTGTCCTCTGTTTTCTTGAGTTTTTTTTTTTTTTTTTATGGATTTCATACATTTTGATCATATTCCTCATCCTCATCTCTCCTCCCTCACTTCCAAACTCACCCAAATTCATGTTCTCATACGCATCCAAGTTTGTGTTCTCATACCCATCCAACTTCATGTTCTTTTTCTCTCTTTCTTGCTGCTTTTTAATTTTACAAAATCCCATAGAGCCCATGGCATTTTGGCTTATTAATCCTGAGCATGGGGCTGCCCTGGAATGTAGCCAATACACCAGGTGTCACTTCATTGAGGAAAACTGGCTTTCTCACGTCCAACAGCAAATGCCAATAACTCCTCAAGTAAGGCTGGGACTTTATGCCTATCCTCTCTCCTCTATGCTAGGATTTTGTCTGGTTTGAACTTATGTGAGTCTGTTTATTAAGTTGCTTGCACATTACAACTATAAGCTTAAGTGTCTTCATTATTCTGTTTGCTCTCCAACAGCCAGCCACCCCAACTCGCACAATAGCAGCAACCCCAATTCAGACACTTCCACAGAGCCAGACAACACCAAAGCGAATTGATACTCCCAGCTTGGAGGAGCCCAGTGACCTTGAGGAGCTTGAGCAATTTGCCAAGACCTTCAAACAAAGACGAATCAAACTTGGATTCACTCAGGTAGATTGACGTCACCTGTTCTAGTTCATTCTCTATTTCTGTGATAAAACACTAACCAAAACCAACTTTTGGAGAAAGAGGCTTTATTTAGTTTCCACTTCTAACCCATCAGTGAGGGAAGTTGGAGGAGGAACCTGACGGCAGGCACTGAAGCAGAAGCATAGAGGGACACTGCTGGCTTGTTCCACTGTCCTTCTTAACTGCCCAGGCCCACCAGCTCAGGGATGGCACTGCCCACAGTCTCCTGGGCCCTCTTATATTAATTAGCAAGAAATGTTCTATTTTATACCCATGGGCCAATCTGATAGAGGTAACTCTTCAATTAAAATTCTCTCTTTCCAGATCTGTCAAGTTTGACAATGAAGTGTAGCCATTACAGAGCTCTCTTACATATCCTTTCATGGCTAGCTGTGAATACTTTCTAAGGAGCAGGATGTTTCTCAGTCATACTGATTTAGCATTTAAAATTTTAGAATATTGTGCATTTGGTTATTAGGTTCATACATTTATTTGTGATATTAATATTAGGTTAAAAATTTCCAAGTGTGTTTCACAACAGTGGCCTCTGAAATGATATCAGTAAAATGTTTGTTTGAGTAGACTGACTGTGCTAAGGGTTTCGTGTTAAAGAACACGTGGTGATAGAGCTTACACTACTACATATGTCACGTGGAAAGAATAAGGATTCAGGCCTTTTGAAAAGACTCTATCTTTTGGGGATAGAGTGCCCTCCCTCCTTTCTCTCAGCCTAAAATGCGATTAGTCAAGTAAGAATCTATTGAAGTTTTTTTTTATTATTTAAAAAAAGTAGATTAATCAAATCCAAATCTTTTAATGTCAACTAGCAGAGGGCTTGAAAAGTGAAATAAGTGTGCTTAATGGTTTAAGGAAGCTTTGGGTACATAACGTTTTTCTTAGTGCTGCCACTATACCCCGATTAGCCTGTCAAAAACAATGCTTCAAAACCAGGAAAGAAATTAAACTTACAACTATGTGAAATGGCTGGAGATCATTAGCTGAAAGAAAAAAGTCTTAATGTATGGATTGAGTAGTATATTTATACAATCTGGAAAAACTGATGTTTTCTTTCCAGAAAGCTTCCATTCACATGCTTTCCGGATTAGGTTGTGTGGAAAGTACGGAATGCACCTCTGCTCTGGTAGATCAAAATCAAAGTGACATCACTGCCTGCTGTATTCTAGATCTAGTCAGGAATTAGATTTTTTTATTCCTTGTATTTGAAGATTTATTTTTTGCCCAAAGAAACTACAAATTAGGAATTTAAAACAGATAAAATTTTACATGAAATGCATTCACATTTTTGAGGAATTTCAGATATAAGGAAACAAATTAAGGGTCCCAGTGCTTGCCACCAAGCCTGATGATCTGAGCTTGGTCCCAAACCCCACATGGTGCACCGGAACACAGATGCATCTGCATCTCCTCCATGGGCAGCTCTCCTGGGTAGACATCCCAGGACTCCGGCATCTGCAACATCTTGTCTCCAAAATAGTTCAGGTTTCAATTTCACAGCTTCATGTAGTGGCCTCTTAGGGCCCCTATTCAGGGACTCTCCTGTCACATGCCTGGCCTCCGTGGCTTTCCTTTATCTCGAAGGTTGATTCCACAACCTTTTTACTCCATCATTTTATTTACTCTACAGCAAGAACCACATGGCCAGTGCTACCAAGTTCTTCTGACAGCTTGGGCTGGAATGTGGAATTACTTTGCATAAGCTTTGATTTGTTATTACTGTTTAGAAACAGATTGATTCCTTAAGCTTTTTGTTTTCACAAGTTACGGAATTAACTAGGTGGGATCTTACTATAAGGGAACTCCCTTTATTCCATTTTCCCTTATCTCTTTCATTACAAACCTTGGCTCCAACATTAAGCTTCCTGGTGCTCTTTTTCTCCTCAGACTGTACATTTTATATTTCTTGGTAGGCTACATGAAACTTGTATTAAATAATCCTAATAAATTAAAATGAACAAAACCACACTTAAGCTATGCTTTTAAATACATCCTTTCCTTGACTCCACATATAATAGACAATCTAATCTCAAAAATGTGGATCTGGGGGATTAAAAGAACTCAGGTAATTCCAACTCAGTCGTGTTCCTAAAGCAAGACATAACAACACAATTTTAGAGTCCTGGCACTTGAGAAACTGGGACGGGAAGATCACCTGTTCAAATCCATTCCTGGTCTCAACAGATTGGGGCTGGAGAGATTGCTCATTAGAGGTTGCACTTGCTGGTCTTGCAGAGGACCTAGTTCTGTTCCCAGCTTCTTTATTTTAGCTCACAATGATCCTGAAATTCTAGTTCCAGGGGATGTGATGCCCTCTTCTGACCTCTGTGGGCACTGCACACATGTTATACATACATACACATAGGCAAAATATTCATACACATAAAACAAACAAAAATCTAAAAAATAATTAAAAATAATGTTGCCAGGTTTTTTGAGAGTTGCTTATCTCACAGTAGAGTTAGCTTTGCACATTTTGAGTGAGAAATGCTATACTTTTCTGCCCTGACACTAATCTAGTTGAAATGGGCATGTGAGCCACTTAAACTCCATGAGCTCCTCCTATTATCTATAAAATAACTTATGATACATCATCTTCATGGTAGAACAAGAGAGATCCAGCTGGAAGAAAGTACTGTGTACATTTCAAAGGTGATAATCTTGTAGGGAAAGGCATCTTTTGTAATATATTCAGAGGATCATTGTTCTGTTTCAGTAAGGTTGCCAAGTTTCCAGTGCCCATGAAGGTTTGACTAAATGGGTCAAACCTCTCTACTGTGAATTTCTATCTCTATAATGGCTGCAAATGTGGTCTTTTAAAATAGCTGGTTTTGTGACCAACTTTGAAATTTAAACTAAGAGTGAAAATAGATTTTTTTTATAGCCTCTACATATGAGAAGAACTATAAAGAATGGAAGGGTCATTTTTAAATTTTAAAGTGATTTGTGTGAAATTTGGTTGGTTTGGAAATTCCTGGTTGAGGGGCACTTGCTACTAAGCCTATGATCTGGGCTCAATCCCCAGAGCCTACATTGTAGAAGGAGAGAGCCAACTCCCTCAAATTGTCCTCTGATTTCCACATGGGCACTATGGCACTCTTGGGCCCAGTTACACAGTAAATAAATAAATAAACAAACAAACAAATAAATATGCAAGAATAAGAATGACTTGCAGGCTTCTCTAAACATCTAATGCGTATAAGTGATGCAGGTAGATTTTAAAGGGTACTCAGATCATTTTGGTTCAATTAATGGAGGGGCATTAGTATATCAGAACTTTGAAGACTTGGAAGTTTTGGTATGGTGATTATAGTTGTATAAGTTAACTAGAGGAGACTCAAAATAGAAAGCACATGGGGTAATATTGAAGGCTTCTATGATTGATGCCCTGCCTATTTCTCCCTACAGTCCTAGACTCTCCATTGGGAGTAAAGTTGGTGGGAAAATGGAGTAACTAGAAGATGGCCAGTTATTTTCCTAGAGCAGCAGTTAATGGAGTAGGGGAGCCTTTCAGAGTAGAGGTTGGAAACCTTAATGACATGAAGCTCTTTTCCTCTCTCCCCCTTTTCTGTTCTGTATTGTTCAGGGTGATGTTGGGCTCGCTATGGGGAAATTATATGGAAATGACTTCAGCCAAACCACCATTTCTCGATTTGAAGCCTTGAACCTCAGCTTTAAGAACATGTGCAAGTTAAAGCCACTTTTAGAGAAGTGGCTAAATGATGCAGGTAAGTGACTACACCAAGAAATTTCTTCTTTGCCCATGGGATTTTACAGGAGGGCTTATTCTGCAAAGTGAGGTCTTGCTATATTGCTGATAAAACAGAATGTTGGAGCCTCTAATCTTACAAATTATGATTATATAAACCAGAGAGATACTTCATCTTAATATTCCAGTAATTATAGTATAAATAACCAGCAATAATTGTAGCCTTAGAATTTTTCTGTATTTGAGCCAGGGTTGGGGTGGACATACAGTATTTGAGCGTGAGTATAAGAAGGCCTGCGTGTATAATCTGGAAGAGCATACAGATTATTCCTTCCTTAATAGATTGCCTTAGAATTTGTTCCTGTTAATATTTCTACTTTTGCTAAAAATGGCCACTTATTTCATAGAAAAATGTTAGGTCTTGAATTATTTATTTTATTTTGAGATATCCTTTTGGAAATTTTGAACCCCCAAATCAAAGACTTTGGGAGCTAAAAGGAACTAAAGGCACTTAACCATGTTGTTTCCGTTATGGATAGAAACAAAATTAGGCCTTTGGAAAAGATAACCTTGGCACACCCACACTTCTAGCATACTGAGTCAGTAGCTGGGGGTGAAGTTTAGCTGACTATTGTCTTTTTTGCAGACACAGGCAATAACTACTGATCTGCCCCATCTCAGTTCATATGAATAGAAAGAAATCCATTGTAATGTGCTCAGGCTTGTTCAGCTGTTAAGAAAGGATACTCTCCTGTCCTTAAAGAAGTTAGAAGTACCCTCTCCCTACTATTTATTATGCCAAGAAACTGAGAAATCATCTCTAAACAGTAAATATCCAGTGATTGCCAAAATAATTTCTTCCTTTTTAATCCTCAGTACTTATAAACAAGCAAAAGAACAGAACTAAGGGAAGTGTAAGTGAAAAATAAACCTTTATTCTCAGAAACAAACCAAAAATGAATGGTGACAAATGATAATCTTGGAACAAAGAATGCCAACAAGGACAGTAGAAAACTGATGGTAGTGAAAAATGCATCTGTGTAGATTATATTAAAAAATCACACATACCAAGCTTTAAATATTTTTGCCAGTTTTATTGTTCATATGTATTCTGTATGTAAATCCTTGAGCTCAGCTTTTTTCCCCTGTGTTTTCTTCACTCTTACAGAGAACCTGTCATCTGATTCTACAGCATCTAGCCCAAGTGCCCTGAATTCCCCAGGGTTGGGGGCTGAGGGCTTGAATCGTAGGAGGAAAAAACGCACCAGCATAGAGACCAACATCCGTGTGGCCTTAGAGAAGAGTTTCATGGAGGTCAGTGAGGTTTACTTTTTGTGTGCATCTGGTTGTCTCAAGTACTACTGTTAGGGACTGTCGCTAGGTAATGGGACTTAACCTTGTCTTCCTTCCTGATGGGCATTTTAACATGGAGGAAGTAAGATACTATAATACTGACACTTGAATACTGCAGGACTGAAGCGTGACCTTGGTTCTAATTGTGTGAGCATTTGGTAAGGAGCATCAGAATTAATCCTACATATAGGAAAAGGTGGGAGGAAAGTACCTTAGGCAGAAATCTTACTCTAAATTCATAAAGAGCTGTGTTTACTTGAGGAAACATTAATTCAGGAGTCTTCATTGGCTTTGCCTGTTGTTAAACGTGTGGCAGGGCACTTCACTTGATTTTAAGATTAAGTTGTTGCACTCTGAAATTGCCTTCCTTTCCTGCCTCAGAAGTATGAGGTGTATATTTGGTCATATGCATAAAGACTGAGAAACTCACATGTTACTAATAAATTGTAAGTTTGTATTCTTTTGTTAACATTAAGATTAGTATACCTAAGCCAGGCATGAGGCATTTTAATCCCAGCACCTGAGGTCAGCCTGGTGTACATAAAATCCTGGTTTGATTCCTAATATCCACATGGCAGCTCACAACGATCTGTCATTCCAGGTCTAGGACAGTCAGCACTGTCTTCTGGCCTCTGAGGACACTATACAAAAATGCAGGCAACACACCCACACACACACAATAAACTTTTAAAAAAGAAAAAGTGCATGCCTTTAATCCATCCCTGGGAAGGCAGAAGCAGGCAGATCTCTGAGATAAAAGCCAGCCTGGTCTACAGAGAGAGTTCCATGAAAGACCCCCCATGGGGTGGGATCCTGGGGTGACCACTTGGGAATGTGGCGACCCCAATCACCAGGTGGAGGCCAGGACTTGATGCTTTATTGCAGTTGTTTAACTAGCTAACCCCTTTAGCTCGGGCCTTTCATTCACCCATCATGGCAGATGGCTGGGGGAAAAGACCCCAGGAAACCCAGGGACAAAAATCTTATAGGACAGCATAAGGGGGGGTGTCTAGGGGTACGCACAGGCTCAGGATTGGTGTGACCTGTCCTGTGTTGATTGGTCAACTGGTTGTTATGGCCCATAGGCCCTCCCAGGGTGGTTGCTATTGCTCTGCACCTCCTAGTGACCAAGGCAAGGTCAGGCAAGCACATGTTAGACTGTTATGGCTGCCAAAACGGGGAGCTGGTCCCTTCACCAGGACAGCCAGGGCTACACAGAAAAACCTGTTTCAAAAAAAAATAAATAAATAATCATCATCATCATCATCATCATCATCATCATCATCCAGGGCTGGGATATAATTAATTCAAATGCTTGTCCCTGGATTCAATCTCCAAGAATGCAAATATATAAACGGAAATTTTAAAAGTTGAGATTTTTTTCCCTCTCTTAGAATCAAAAGCCTACCTCGGAAGATATCACCTTGATTGCTGAACAACTCAATATGGAAAAGGAGGTGATTCGTGTTTGGTTTTGTAACCGCCGCCAGAAAGAGAAAAGAATCAACCCACCAAGCAGTGGTGGGACCAGCAGCTCACCTATCAAAGCAATTTTCCCCAGCCCAACCTCACTGGTAAGAACTAATGTGGAACAGATAAGTTCTTCAAGGACTTAATTTTTAGTTTTACAAATGGCCTGTGAAAGTCAATTCATTTCTGAGTTGTCTCAATTACATTTCTGTTACTGTGATAAGATACCATGAATGACCATGGCAATTTATAAAAGAAAGCATTTAATTTCAGTTTACCATTCCCAAGGATGGGTCCATAATGATGGAACATAGCAACAACAAAGGGCTCACATTTTGATCCTCATATAGAGAGACAGCTAGTGGAATGTGCTTTGAATCCTCAAAGCCCACCCCAGTGACACCTCTTACAACAAGGCCAACAGTTAAGAAAGTGTGTGTGTGGGGGGGGCGCATACAGCTTGGATAAATATATAAAATACCTACTTTAAATATTCCAAAATTATGAAATTTCTCATTGTGAATCCAAGAACTTAATGGTTTCTTTTGTTTTTGGAAGTAAATAATTTCAATTCTTTTTTGTTTCCTTGCGATTTTTCCTGCAGCTAATAAGGTTACACTGCAAGAATAGATTTGCTCCTGATTTATAGTTGAGGGGAGGGGTTAAGTTCCTTCCTGTTCAGTCCTAAAGCCCATTTTAGTAAACTTACATGATTAATCAACAGTAAATCTCAAATACTCACTCTGGGACAGTAGGTCGGCCTTTGATATGGAACTTTATTAATCACTCTTTCATTGCATGAGAACATCTCCTGGATGGGAGAGGCATGCCATGGTCACAGGACTCCCATATTTACTTTTTCTTCCTTTTAGGATAATTGTAGGTCACTCACAGATGATGCCAGTCAGGCTTCAAAAAATGCACAGATTATTGAGTCTTCATTTCTGTTTCTTTTGTTCTTGTTAATAGGCTTTCGTTTTATTTTACTATTATTTCATGTTACATATACCACCTTAGGTTTTTGAGACAGGGTTTTTCTATGTATCCTTGCCTGCCTCTGCTTGCCAGGTTCGAGAATTAAAGAGATGTGACATCACACTTGGCTTCACAGGGTTTAAAACTAAAGTCAGCATTGTCAATTAAGTGAAAGTTGTGAGTTATTAAAGTTGTAATCAGAACTATGATGTTTTTACAAAAAACATAGTCATTAGATAACAGTTTTGTCTGAGTGATTATTTTATTTTCAGGCTTAGCTATATAAGAAGAAGGCAGTGTCTTACAAAATGGTAGGATGCTTATCATAATTTTTCAAAAATGCTAAATTGTTTTAAAAATATGTTTCTCAGCTGGGTGGGGTGGCACTTGGGAGGCAGAGGCAGGTGGATTTCTGATTTTAAGACCAGCCTGACCTACAGTGAGTTGGAGGAGAGCCAAGGCTACACAGAGAAACCCTGTCTCAGAAAGAAAGAAGGAAGGAAGGGAAGAAGGAAAGAAAAGAAAAAAAAATCTGCTTCACTAGAGCTGGGCATGGTAGTATACATATACCCTCATTTTATTAGTTTGAAAATTTCAGTGTATTTTGATTGTGTTTTCTTCTTCCCCAGCTCCTGCAACTCCAACCACACACAAACAACTGGTGTCATTTTTTTTTTTTAACCCATAAGTCCAAGTTGTGTTGTCCATGTACTCTTAGGTGTATGATCATCCACTAGAGTGTGATTGATTTACCAGTGGCCACACCTTTAAACACAAACAAACAATCAAACTCTCCTGCTCCCAACAGCTATCAGATGCCAATAGTTCCAGAGGCAGGAGTTGGAGTTCATGCCCACCTCCTTGCTTCATGCTGGGATTTTGTCTGTGGGTGTTGTGCATGCTGTCATAACTGCTGTGAGTTTATGAGTAGTTTCCTTCTGGGTCAAGAAATCAATTTCCCACCTTCCCTGGCTCTTAGAATCTTTCCTCCCTTTTGCATTGATTCTGAGCCTTAAGAGTAGGTGTGATATAAATGCCCCCCCCCACTTTTGGGGGGGGGTTCAAGACAGGGCTTCTCTGTGTAGTCCTGACTGTCCTGGAACTCACTTTGTAGACCAGGGTGACCTCAAACTCAGAGATCTACCTGCCTCTGCCTCCTGAGTGCTGGGATTAAAGGCGTGTGCCACCACTGCCTGGCTAGATGTCCCTTTTAGGGCCAAGCATTCCTTAGTGTCCTATTATGTGTACATCATGACCAGTTGTGAGCCTGTGTGTGAATCTCCTCTAGTTTAGGGGAGAGGCTTCTCTGATAAAAGGAGAGGTGCCCTCGTCTGTAGCACATAAAAGACCCAGAGACAGATATTAGGATTCAAGCTTCAAGCTGAAGGTCAGAAAAGCAAAGCAGCCAGCCACTAGCTCTTACCTCTACCTCACCTCAGACCCAAAGGAGTGATCCTCCAACTGCTCCCGATTCTATTGCTCCTCTGATTCACTCAGACTGCTATGGCCTCCTCAGTGTGGTAGAGACTTCAATGTGGCTCTCTTCAATGTGGCTGAAGAATGAACTGCCAGCTCTGAGACCCTGCTACTGTATTTAATACCTCTCATGAGTCCTGTGATCCCGAGTGCCGAGACATCTTTGTGTGAGCTCTGTTTCTCTTTAGGACTGTATCAAGTTTGTATAGCTCAGTGTGGCCTTGAACTAACAGAATCTGTCTACCTCTTAATCCTGAGTCTGGGGATTAAAGGTGTGTGCCTGGCTCTATGGCTTGTGGCTGACTTTGCTGTTAGAATTCTCAGGGAAGCTTTAATAAAGCATAAATAATATATCACTACAGTAATCTGTAATGATAAATCTTTAGGGCCTAGATTAAATTATGTCCATTTAGCAGAGTAATATTAGGTTCTCCCCGTGGGCCGATACTCTGTCTAGCCCCAGGTTCTTGCCCCGTAACAGTACACACCTTTAATCTCAGGACACAGGAGGAGCAAACAGGTGGATTTCTGTATTGAAGACCAGCCTGGTCAACACAGTGAGTTCTAGGCCAACCACAGCTACACAGTGTAAGCAGAGGCGGAACTTTTCTCTTGTCGTAACCACCCAGTTCCAAATATATACACAGAAACTTTATTATTTACGATATGCTCAGCCTCAGTTTAGGCTTGTTACGAGCTGGCTCTGTTAATCTGTATTTTACCATGTGTCTTTGTGGCCTTACCTGTTCTCTAGCATACTTTATTATTTACGGAATGCTCAGCCTCAGTTTAAGCTTGTTACGAGCTGGCTCTGTTAATCTATATTTCCGCCATGTGTCCTTGTGGCCTTACTTCTTCGCTAGCATATCTGTTCCTCTGGCACCTGGCTCGAATCTCTCTCGAACCCACCATTCTTTCTCCCTGTATCTCCATTTGGCTTTCCTTCCTAGCCTTATTCTGCCTGGCTATAGACCAAAGCAACTTCTTTATTAACCAATGAGAATAAAACATTTACAGATTACAGAAGGATTATCCCACAACAACAACATAGTGAGGAGTTTTGCTTGTTTCTTGAGACACAGTTTCACTGTGTAGTCCTGGAACAGAGATCTGCCTGCCTTTGCCTCAGGAGTGCTGGGTTTAAAAGCAGGCACCACTACACCCCATCATAAAATTGCCTTTAAAAAGCCGGGTGTTGGTGGCGCATGCCTTTAATCCCATCACTTGGGGGGCAGAGGCAGGTGGATCTCTGTGAGTTTGACACCAGCCTGGTCTACAAGAGCTAGTTCCAGGACAGTTTCCAAAGCCACAGGGAAACCCTGTCTCGAAAAACCAAAAAAAAAAAAAAAAAAAAAAAAAAAAAAAAAAAGTCTTAAAAGTAAGTGGTGGCCCATGTTTTTAATCCCAGCACTTAGGAGGCAGAGGGAGGTGGATTTTGGAGTTCAAAGTCAGTCTGGTCTACGGAGTAAGTTCCAAGACAGCAAGAGCTACATAGAGCTGCAAAAACAAACAAAAGTCTGCTTCACATTCTGTAGTTAAAAATAAAGTCAAGAAAATCATGCATCTACAGAATCAGTGTATATATATATATATACACTGATGCTATCAATCAGATAATTCTATTAATTCTCTTGTTTAGGTAATTTTGACAGTTATACTATTTCTAACTAATTTAGAGTTTGTCTGACTCAACATTATTCAAATTGAAGGACCTTTCAAGTTCTGATTATGTGTTATGAATTTTTTTCTTGTCCGACCTCTAGGTGGCAACCACTCCAAGCCTTGTGACAAGCAGTACAGCAACAACCCTCACAGTCAACCCTGTCCTTCCCTTAACCAGTGCTGCAGTGACTAATCTCTCTCTCCCAGGTAAGGAACAACCAGTTTACAAGCTGTTAAGCAGAAGATCTACTAAATCATGAAGGTGCTAACTTAAGTTATGAATTGCTTTTTTAAAAAATATAATTTCTAGGGGTCTAGGGTGAAGTGTGATCCTAATTAGTCTTGTCAATAAAAACCTGAAGTCAGATATCAAGGTAAAAGCTGAAAGATCAGAGAAACAAAGGAGCAATTGGTCACCTCTTACCTCTCTGAATCCTCAGCCCAAAAGGGGAGAAATCCTGTGTGTTCCACATGTTGTCACTTCCTGTCTCCTCTCTTATAGACCTCCAGACCTCTGGTTAAGTAGTAGCTTGTAGCTCTACCCTCTGGTCTCCAGGCAATCTTTATTTGTCAGAACATAAACAACATATCACAAAACTAGGGAGATTCCTCAGTAAGCATAATCATGAAGACCAGAGTTAGATACAGAGAGTACACTTAAAAGTCAAGTGGGCTTAGTAATCCATCCCTAATCCAGTGCTGGTGAAATAGGAAAAGGGATAGGTAGGCTACACAAATGTTCCAGATTCAGTAAGAGACTGTCCTGGTAAATCAAGTAGAGAGCAACCAAGGAGGAGCGCTAAGCCTCAATATCAGGTCTTCATATGTCCCTTCTCACATACATGCAAACACATATGATCTAGTTCTGCGTGTGTATAAATCTGAACTTGAGCAAGGCTTGCTTTTTTTTTTTTTTTTTGATACTAGACCCTGGCTGTCCTTGAACTCACTTTGTAGTCCAGTCTGTCCTTAAACTCAGATTCTACCTCCTGAGTTACTGGAATTAAAGGTGTGAGCCACCAGGCCAGCAAAAAAAAAAAAAAAAAAAAAAAAGTTTAAAATTGTTCTTTCTTCTACTAGTCCATCTCCTACATTGTTTCCAAACTTACTTTGTTAAACATCCCTTATTCAGGTGATCTCAAGTGATTCAAGGAGCTGTTTCTCCTTCAAAACCCACAGCAGAAAGCATACTTAAATGGCCAAAGACTAACCACTTCTGCCAACGACTTTGTTCCCTTGGTCTTTTAATTGACATTTCACATTAACATTCAACAGCTAGTTAGTAATGGGAAATTAAACTGGTCGTACTCAAGTTGTCCTATTATTGTGTGATGTGAAACCAACATTTGGAATCAGGTGTATTTTTGGTACTCTAACTAAGTGGCCCAAAATGATATTAAGAAAATGATTTATGCAGAATGTATGTAGAAGACTAGTTGGTAGCTGAAACTAAACTGCATGTGTGTTTACGTTTTTATGATGATGTACATGTTTGTGGAGGCCAGAAGTCAACCAGGGAAGTACTTTTGAGTCTACCAACAGGTTTACCACAGCAGCAGGTGCACAGGGCAGGACTTGTCCAGTAGATTAATTGTGTCTCATCTCCATGGAGGCCAGAAGAAGGTATCAGATCCCTGGAACTAGAGTTGTAGATGGTTGTGTGCTTCCATGTTGGTATTAGTGTTGGGAGTCAAACCTGGGTCTTTTGCAAGAGTACCCAGTGTTCTTATCCACCAAGCCAAGTCTCCAACCCCTCAGTTCCCTTTTTTTTTTTTTTTAATAGAAAATTGATGCTGGGGGAAATAACATGTTTCTTTGAGAATTGTGTTATTGCTTTGGCTTTAAAAATGTTTATTATTGTTATTAATAGTAATAATAATGTCTGTAGAAGTGCTAAACTTGGTTAATAAAAAAGAGCAACTAGGATTAGTGGAGAGTAGGTTTATTCATCTCCTTGATTCTAGATACTGAATGAAATGGCTAGCTTTCCAAACCCATTTACAGCAAGTCATTTCCTATCTGATTCTCTTTTCAGGCACTACAGACACTACGTCCAACAACACAGCCACCGTGATTTCTACAGCACCCCCTGCTCCCTCAGCAGTCACATCCCCCTCCTTGAGTCCCTCCCCTTCAGCCTCAGCCTCAGCCTCCGAGGCTTCTAGTGCCAGTGAGACCAGCACAACACAGACCACCTCCACGCCTCTTCCCTCCCCTCTTGGGGCCAACCAGGTGATGGTAACAGCATCTGGCTTGCAAACAGCAGCTGCTGCTGCTCTCCAAGGAGCTGCACAGTTGCCAGCAAATGCCAGTCTTGCTGCCATGGCTGCTGCTGCAGGACTCAACCCAGGCCTGATGGCACCCTCACAGTTTGCTGCTGGGTAAGAAGCTTTCCCATTCTATTTGCATCTAAAACAGAATCTCTCAGTTAGGATTTCAGTTGCTGTGACAAGACATTATGACCACAACAGCTTTTATAAAAGAAACATGTGATTGAGTCTGGCTTACAGTTGTAGAAGCTTAGTCCATTATCATCTTGGTGGGTAACATGGTGACATGTAGGCAGGCATGGTGCTGGAGAAGGAGCTGAGAGTTCTACGTCCTGATCCACAGACAACAAGAAGTGAACTGTCTGCCACACTGGTCATAGTTTGAGCAAGGGAGGCCTCAAAGCCCATCCCACAGTGACACACTTCTCCTCCAAGGCCACACCTACTCTTATAAAACCATACCTCCTAATAGTGCTACTCCCATTGTGTGGTGCCATTTTCTTCCAAACCACCACACAGAACTAGGAACTCATCGCTGCAACTCTTAGGGAAGATTTTTCACTGTCTTAAATGAAAAGCAAACCTAAGATGGACTGCTTTATGATAGATGTGAACTTAAGTTTCTAAGTATTCATACTACCATTTCCACATGATGACCCAGGACTCAGTCAGTGAGTAACTCAGTGATAAGAGCCAGGAAGAAAGCTCAGACTTCTTATACTTAAGCTGTCTTCATTGAAGTGTAGCTTACCTACATTCTAATTCTCAAAAATGGATAAAACTTGGGAGTAAAGTCATGTCAGATTTTATATATTTTTCATATAGCTTTATTTTTATCATATCCAATCCCCACTCTCCCAAACTGCCCTGAACACTTTCACACATTCTCTCTCTCTCTCTCTCTCTCTCTCTCTCTCTCTCTTTCTCTCTCTCTCTCTCTCTCCCCCTCTCCCCCTCTCTTCCCCTCTCCCCCCCTCTCTCTCTCTCCCCCCTCCCTTCCTCCCCCTCTCTCAGCACATACACACCTTCATGTTTCATGTCTTTTATTTTCCTTCAAGGAGCCAGTCTAGTTAGAGCTGCCTATATGCATTTGAGTGTAGGGCCATCCACTGGAGCATGAGTAACCTAGCAATGTAAGACCCCTGAAGAAAAGTAATTCTCCCTTTTCCAGCAGTCATCAACTGCCAATAGCTCCTCAGCTAGGGATGGGGCCTCTTGAGCCCTTCCCCATCCACGCTGTAATTTGACTGGCTTGATCTTGTTCAGGTCACCTAACCATACCTGCTAAGCATTCATTGGGTGCAGCTGCTATGTCATGTTTAGGAGGCAGCATTGCACAGCAGAGCTCCTCAGCCTTCAGCTCTCACATCCTTTCTGCCCCAGGAACATCTTCCTCAATATTCCCTGAGTCTTGGTGCTAGGAAGAGGGGTAAGACTATTGATATCTTTTGAACCCAGTCTGCCTGTGCAGAGCCTCCTGGCACTGTGAACGCTAACCAACAGGGAGGAAGTTTCCTGGTCAGTTACAGATTTTATGTTTCTATATCCTGCAACCTAAGGATTTGTGTGTTCAGTAATAGAGTCTTACAGTCTTTTTATGATGGATAGCTAACAGCAGTGGCAATAGCCTATAGTGTTTGCTTTAATTTTGATTTTGGTTTTTTGTTTTGTTTGAGAGGCTTGACCTCTAGAGTCTCCCAGACCAATAACTTGTAGGAAAGTATCCCATGACTGGCACTGGGAGTTTTGTTAATAATGTGTCTTCTGGAAACAAAATTGTCCACCCATTTAGGGTACCTCTGTTCAAATTCCTTCTGTCCATTTTTTTGTTTGTTTGTTTTTGTTTTTCCTTTGGTTTTTTTGAGACAGGGTTTCTCTGTGTAACAGCCTATCTGTCCTGGAACTCCAGGCTGGCCTTGAACTCAATGAGATCCACCTGCCTCTGCCTCCCAAGTGCTGGAATTAAGGGCCTGTGCCCCCGCTGCCTGGCTTTTTGTTATTTTTTTTTTTTTGTCATATGTTTTAATTAGCTTATAAACAGAGGGTTCCTATAAGGGTTTTCTTCATATATCCTTAGTTTTTGTTGATCTTCCTTCCTTCTCTGTTTAAACCTTTAATCCCTGTAATTCTCTCCTCTTTTCATACCACACACATATATCCTACCCTATTAAGTCCTCTTTTCCTCCCCCTTTCCTGGACCCTTTTAGGCTTTCTGACCTACTCCAAGTTAAACATAAGCTAAAGATTCAAAGCTAGGAGTCACATATGAAAAAGAGCTTACGGCCTTTGTCATTTCGGTCCATTTACCTGCAGATTTCATTTTTCTTCACAGCTGAATAAAATTCCTGTATTTGTACCAGTTTCATTATATCTATTATTTTGTCTATTTGGGTATATTGTCAAACTGACAAGTATTTATTTCTACATGGCAGTAGAGTGATTCCCCTTTTGCACTTGCAGAGGTGCCTTACTCAGTCTCAATCCGGGAACTCTGGGCGGTGCTCTCAGCCCAGCCCTAATGAGCAACAGTACACTGGCTACTATACAAGGTCAGTCACATTTTTTTCTCAATTGGTGCACCTGAGTGTTTTGAGTGAGTGAGAGTGTGTGTGTGGTAGAAGCTTCCTGCCTTGCTAGAGATTAAGGTGAGGAAGAGGGAAAGTTAAAAATACTGATTAAGTTGTTCCTGAAGATCAAGATGTCCCTGTAAAAATGTTTTGTAGAAGGGGTTCATTTGTTAGAACAACAAATAATACATATTCCAAGAAATCTGGACATTACTTTCTTATGTGAATAAAGTTGGAGGAAGATTTATTTTCTTCCGTTAACCTATCTGAAGGTAAGCTTCTTCAAGTAAAACTCCCCAGTTTTATCCCCACCCGAAGATCGCTAGTTGGAATGGTAGAGTACATCCCACGGATCTCCAGGATATTTTTCACTCTTATTAGATTTTGCCCCATATATATTCCCATCAGTGTAGAACATAACGTTCTTGGATTTGGGTCTAAGCCCATTTGAGTCCATGTCAGTCTTTTCTTGTGTTACTTAAAGTGATACTTTTATTCATACGGTGAAAAATCTGCCTTGCCTTGTTCAGAATCTAAGCTTTGTGCCTAAAGATGCCTATTATATGATTTGGAGAAAATTCCTACTTTGAACAAAAGAGGGTTTTTTTGTTTTTAAACAAGAATTCTTGGGGTCAAAAACAAGCTGACAGGTTCTGTCACATTTCAGTGAGTGATATGTCTAATCATATTCTGTAGTCAATGTTAAACTGCAGACAAAAATCGAATTGCCTAGATTGCCCTGTGGTTTGTTGATTTCTGTTTGGCCAACTTGTGTCTAGGCTGGTGGCTAGATGGATGTGTAGGGCTTTCATTGTGCATAGACATCCTTTAGAATACTTGGGATAAGTCCCTTTTTCCAGCACAGGGGAAGATCTCTGGTGTACAAAGTTATCATAAAGGCAAAGTGCCTTTCCAAAGGCATGAGTGACTATAGAATATTCTCTGGAAAGATGCAGAATCAATCTGTGACCCTGTGCCTTGAACCAGGAATGCTTTACTCTGCACTGGCGCTCAGTGTTGTGTATTATTTGTACGTTCATGCTCAAAATTAGGTATTCCCTTCAACTAGAAATAAAATCTTAGTGATTTGTCCTGTGGGGAAGCACCATAAAAATATTGTGCCCCATTCATTACCAGATCCTAGCTTTAGATCACTCACACATCATTGTGTGTTGTATCTCCTCCTACAATAAACAGTATTCTTTATACAGCAAAAGAGTCAAGTGGTCCAACTCTAGAAGTACAAAAACAAAATTTTTAAATCATGTCTTTCTTTATTTAGTGATAATTGTAAGTTTTCACGAGTAAGGCCTTTGGAAATATAGCTTTCATCTTATGAACTTTTGTCAAATAATTTACATAGTGGTAGTTGAGTTGATAAAAGCTAAATAAAACACTCAATCACCCTAACCTAGTAGTCTTTTGAATGGAGGTAGTTTTAAATCAATTCCACTGGAAAGACAAAATTATTGGATTTTAACAGATACTTGTAAATAAATGATATAAACTTGAGACTTAAAAGATAGAAACATGTTTGATTCATTATACAGTTCTCATAATTCCTCCCCATTAATTTGTCCTGCTTGTACTCATTAAATTGACTTTTTGGGCTAGAGAGATGGCTCAGAGGTTAAGAGCACTGACTGTTCTTCCAGAGGTCCTGAGTTCAATTCCCAGCACACAACCACCTTGAATGAGATCTGGTGCCCTCTGCTAGCATGCAGGCAGAAGACTATATACATAATAAATAAATAAAATCTTCAAAATAAATAAATAAATTGCCATTTCAGTTCTTTAGATGCTTCAAAATTATGAACTTGAGTTCATGTCAGTATAGCATTTAGAATTGAAGGATAGCATTATATTAGACTTGATTATATAATCAGTGAAGAGGTATACTCTTTGCTGCTGAGTAGAGCTTTGCTGATTTGTTATTTGGCTTCTCCAGGATGAAGTTTAATGTTCTTTCTGTTCTGGGGTCTTTTTGTATAGCTCTTGCTTCTAGTGGTTCTCTTCCAATAACGTCACTGGATGCAACTGGGAACCTGGTATTTGCCAATGCAGGAGGAGCTCCCAACATCGTGACTGCCCCTCTGTTCCTGAACCCTCAAAACCTCTCTCTGCTCACCAGCAACCCAGTAAGCTTGGTTTCTGCAGCCGCAGCCTCCACAGGGAACTCTGCACCTACAGCCAGCCTTCATGCCTCCTCCACCTCTGCTGACTCCATCCAGAACTCTCTATTCACAGTAGCCTCTGCCAGTGGGGCTGCTTCCACCACCACCACCGCCTCCAAGGCACAGTGAGCAGCTGAGTGCAAGAGTTGGGCTGCCACAGGCCTTCGTCACTGCAGTATGATGGGCTGCCAGCTGTTTAAAAACCTGACAAGTGTGATTGGCTTCCTCCCACCATGTTGTGAGGGTGAGGGAGACATGCAGAGAAGAAAAAATGCATATACCAGGAAAGAAAAAAAGAATGGAGACAGGACAACGTTCGCCTAATTTTATAATAAAACAATGTCTTTTCAGGATTGCTTCATGGATTGGAGAACTTTCTAACCAAAAATTTAAAAGAAAAAAAAAAGCAGAAACAAAAAAATCAAAAACAGACAGACAAAAATAAGTGAAAGGACTACTTATCATTTCCAGCAGTCATGATGACAAGCTAAGGTGGGTTACCAGTTCCAATAGAGGAAGGGGGGAAGGGGTTTTTTTTTTTTTTTTTTTTTTTTTTTTTTTTTCCCTTAAAAAAAATCATTTTTATAGGTCTGTTGTACAGGCCATTAAGTCATAACAAGGTGTTTATAATCGTAACAATTGTGTTGGGGGTTCCTTTCTTAACTGGTACAATTTAGGCAGGCCTGTATTACTGTATCTCTGTTATTGTTTATATATATATATATATATTGATAGATATATTGGACATGTTTATCTCTTGCTCCTGGATCCTATTTCAGTGAGCTCCCACACTGTGGGGAGGGAGGGTTTGGGGGTAAAGGGAGACTTGCGTTCTTAACTTCCAGGAATGTTCTTGCTGGTTTCCTTATCCTTGATGACTCTTACAGAGGTGCTAGAAAATGATTTTCTTTTGCCACTTATGCAAGAGGCTTGGTGCAGAAGCCGAAGGCAGTGTGTGCAAACACTCCTACTCCACACACGCCCCTCCCCCATCAGGTGGTGCCTTTGGAGCACTTTTGTGTAGGAAGGAATTCCTGCTGAACTGTAGCTCTCACTCACCCCCTAACCATTGAGCAACCCTGAGGCCCGAACCCTGTGGTGCAACAATGCTGCTTTCTGCTACTTTCAATAGGAACAGCTGTGCCTGTTGCAGGGCAGGGTTTGGTTCCAAAGAGCAAAGACTACTGCAGACACCTGACTTGGTGGTTCTCCTGATTTCTTTAAAAAAAAAAAAAAAAAAAAAAAAAAGCCCCCTCTTTTTTTTTTTTTTTTTTTTTTTTTTTTTTTTTTTTTTTTAAAAAAAAAAAAAAAAAAAAAAAAAAATGCTCCTACTGTTGATATTTGTTTGCTTGTTTGTTTGTTTGTTTTCATTTTATGAAATTTTTTCCATCCAAACTTTCTTTGACTTACTTAGTCAAGATCAAATTGACTTACTGAAATTGGGAAACAATTCTCTGCTTTGTTTTCTAAAGAAATTCTGTTAGACTGTTTTCTCCTAATTACATAGCCCAAAGAGGTCAATATAAAGAGTCTGAATTTGCCACCTTTTCCTCTAGAGCAGCAGTTTTCAACCTGAGGGTCTCCACCCCTTGGGGTGAGTGACCAACTGTTTCACAGGGGTCACTTAAGATAATCTGCATATCAGATATTTACATTACATTTCATAACAGTAGCAAAATTACAGTTACGAAGTAGCAGTGAAAATAATTTTAAGATTGGGGTGGTCACCACAACATGAGGAACCCTATTAAAGGGTTGCAGCATTAAGAAGGTTGAGAACCTCTGCTCTAAGGTCACAGACGTGCTGTGACTTTGCTGAGTGGCTCATGAGCTCCTCCAAGCCTCAGATTTTCCTCAGTTCTCTGACTGGAAGAGATGCTTTCCTGGCTGGGGAAGGGATCTATAGAACCTCAGAGAAAGGCTGAGCAGGCACATGACAGCCTGTTGGTGTCTCCTGGTTTGTTATACCCCTGCTAGCCAGGTAGGTTTGCTGACGACACACATCTCTTATTTGATGTAAAAAAGTGATTTGCTCCTGTAATTGTTTTCAGGGTGTTTCTAGACTACATAAATGAGCCCATTGAAAAGGAAGAGCTTGTGAAAATGGATGAAGATGGATGAGGGTAATTGAGAGATTAAATTCCCTTTGACAATACCCTGCTATTATCCTATCTGTACCAGAATTTTCACAAATGACGGGGACACTTCAGTGATGTTCATCTAGGTTGCCCTTACTGGAGTTAGGGTGCCCATTGGTGTCTGAGGTGCTTGCTTTGCTTGTGTCCATAGGAAACCTGGATTCTGGGCATTCGTCTCTCTGCACTGTTGCTCAGAAAGGCAGTAACCCAGACACAAATGTATATCTTTCTTTGTGATTCAATCGGGGGTCATTAATATTAAAGGTCAGAAACATTTTGGTCCCCCTTTAAATTTTTCTTTAGTTCCTTTTGTTTATTTCCCAGATATTTTTACCCCTTAATTTCTCTTACCCTTAACTTTTCCTAAACTCACTCTAAAAAAATCAGTGAACTTCAAGCAGGGAAACTAACAAATGCTCATCCACCTATTTTGTATGGTGTGGGGTTTTTTGTTGTTGTTATTGTTGTTCTTTAAACTAAGCTTGAACCAAAGTCAATTTTTAGCAAGCTGCTGTACTAACGGACTAGGTATGATGTGCAGTTCAAGACACATTGAGGAGATAGATGCTACTGACAATTTCTTACTCATTTTTTCTTGATTAATTTTATGTGAAAGCTGCTGCTTGTTTTTAATCTTTTATGTTGGTAAATTGTATCCTCTGGGCAGACATTACCTTGATTTTTAGCTAGTTTGTTTAGGTCAGTGTGTAAATAGAATGGCTGTGTCAGTTAATAATTTCTCTCTTCCCATCAGCTTTCTTTCTTGTTAACTTAATCTTTTACTTTGACTTAACACTCTAACCTTAGTCTGTTCGTGTGATTATAGGGCTATCAATACTGTTTCTGCTCCTAGCAGAGAGTCCCTCCCTTGGGAGTGATGAAGTTAGGAGGAAGAATTCAGGGAGAGATGCTGATTACTCACCATACCAGATTAGAAGTTACAGCATTAATTCCCAAAATTGCTACCAAAGGAAGTTTAGAGTCTTAAGGGACCTGGCCCAGGGAGTTAAAAAGGACAGAGAAAGTCTGTTTTATTTAGTCCTGTAGGGTGAAAAAATATTTTTCCTAAATAAGATTCCCCTACAGACTTTTTTTTTTTAAAGATGATACTAAGCTTTAAATGTCAGTCCAGTGGTTTGTCAGTTCCCCCTTTGTCTATAGTTTCTAGTTGGTTTGCGAAAGGAATGCTGCCTTTTTATATAGTTCATTTAAGGATAAACCTTAAAACCAGCATAAACGCTGTATTGAGAAGAAAAAAAATCTTTAGACAAAGGACTTTAATTTTTCCTCTCCTTTTTCATATATTCAAAATTATGGTGTAAGATGAAGGTACTTTCTACATGTACACATGACACACTGCTAACACCTGCTGGTGGGTGTTGAGTTTAAAGTCACCTTCCGTCACCGTCCCTCTGTCAGCCTCATTCGACGCTTCACAAACACCTGGGCCAGTTTTCAGTTGATACCACTTTTTTTTTTTTTTTCTTTTTAAAGCTCTCAAATGTTTTTAAATTGATTGAATTATCTTTGAAGCTAAAGTACTCAGACTCAAAACATTTACCTGCCTTTTATGAGGGGGTCTAGAAACTAAAGGGGTTATTTGAATAAAAGGCATTCAGTTGAGTTTCTGCATTTCCAGAAGAAACACCAGATAGGTTGTTACAGCCCCTTAATTTCATTTTTCTTTTCTTCCCCTTGACATTTATGCACACTCTATTTCAGTTCTGGATTTAGTTAATACATTGTAAGCCAAAGACTAATTTTGAATACATTTTTAGGGATACTATATTTGCCTGTGATAATGGGCCCTCCCTGGAAAGTAATGAATGTAATTGTTTAATCCTGTTTAAGTGATACAGTTTGGCATAAATTTTATTTATTCCCTGTGTAAATCTGAATGACAACAGAAGATCTGTTTGGCTTCTCACAAGAACAGTGCTACTGTTCTAGGAATCAGTAGAGTGCTGTTAGCTTGAATGTCTCTGAAGTCTTATAGGCAGCTTCTTAGAATGAGGAAACATTATTCCTACCCATTAACTTCCTTTTATCTGTTGTTAGGAAAGACATTACCGTCCTGTTGATGTAACTTATTACTCCAGAATGGAACCAAAGGAATCTGGCTTTCATCTTGTGTAGGACCAACCTATTTATACTTCATAAGCTGTATTCAAAATTTCTTAAAGGGACAATTTCAGAAAGATTTTGGGTGTGATCATCTTGCCAATATGTTCTATATCATCATTCAATTTGTTTTAGGGGAAAAGCACAATTATACCTCTTTAATATTATTGTGTCTATTATCTATCCCTCAATTATTTGGGAAGATAGAGGAAATAATCTCTTTATTATCCAGAAGCACAGGTTTTTGCTTGACAGTATTTCAGTTCATCTTAAATGATGATATTTAACTTGCTGGAAACATCAGGTACATTTGTAAATATAGAGATATTATGTTAGAAAAAATGTTATCATTCACAGTCTGAAGTTCTTCTCAAGCTTCGTCATCCTCACAAATCTTCCTTGACCAATAGAGAAATAAGGTCATTGAAATAGAAGGCAAAGAAACACCTATTCCTCCCCAGATAGAAATGCTGCCCCACTGTGCAGCAGTTTCCTGCTGGCCCCGAGGAATGTTACAGTGCTGTAACCTGAGCACTGGTAAAACAGAAGGAAGGGCCTTAGCAACTCCGCAGAAGAGCTTGGTCAGAAACTTTAAATTGGCTTCTGAAGTTGATGAATATAAAGTGTACTTATTAGAACTGAAAACATTAAATACTTCAGTACTAATGGGAGGAAATTACTAAAAGACCTTAAACGCATAATTATCCAAGTGGGCAATAATTGATGTGATAATTTATTCATAACCGTTATGAGTTCACTTTGATTTGTGAGTATGAATAGCATTTACCATGTTATATTTTTCATATAAAGAGATCCCTGGCTACTTTGAAATTGTTTTCAGATACCTAGAAAACTAAGACTTTCTTAATATTTTCAATTTTAAGGAGGAAAAAATAATTCTTTGCTATTTCTCTGAAACTAAGAGCCATTGTAGGTTTACATGATGGCACCCACCATGTATACACAGGCCTGAATAGAAAAAGCAGAAATAAGTTGCTTTCATTCTTAAAGGATGATGGTATCCTCTTTCCCTCCTCTTCTTCTTCAGCCATGGGAGTAAAAGTAAGTTTCTGCCAGGAGGCAGGGAACCTCTTCCTCGGAAGTTGTCCAGTTTGCACCCAGCACCCAGTGCTTTGTGTCTAAGACCTCTACAGCATTCTGTTCATGAAGTAGTTCCTTATTGTGACTTCTCTGCTTTGGGGCTTTTACTAAAATCGGTGAGCTTGAGTGAATTGTGTGTCAGTTCTGGGCTCTGGACCTCTCGTCTCTTTCCTCCTTTTTCTCTTTGAATGGTGGTACCTTAATCTGTGAGAACAATGCTCGTGGGCAACAGCTTCTAGCACCTTCATAAAATACCTCAGCACAGCTTAGCATTGTTGCAGAACTGGCTTTAGACTTAAAAACCAAGTAAGTAGAAGAAAAAAAAATCTTTATAAATAGTGGAAATAATTCTAGCTGTAGTATTTAGTTGAACTAATGTTTATTATGGTTGATAACATGATTGATTCTGTAAGTATTTGGGATCCTGTTTATAGGGTTAGGGAGGGTTGCAGTGGGAGAAAGGAGAAATTGATTATGTTAGAAGGAAAATACTGCTCGTATGTGTTTGTTTTTCTTTATATCTGTCTTGCTAAAAGAAACTTGATATTCCCTGTAGTTGGATGGGGGTTTGAGGCCTCTGTCATCTGATATGCAGTGTGCAGAAGCGTGCAGGTGACATATGGGGTGTCCAGTAGGTTCAGGGTGCCCAAGGGCAGATTTACAACCCTTGTGTCTGTGGCTGCCTTGCCTGCTTCTCCTCCCCCCCGGCCCCCAGACCTGCCAGCCTCTCCTGATGACCCATTACCTCTGTACATAACTAAAGCCTAGGCAAAGGAATAGGGTGTGCATGTCCAAGTGTGCAAATGAAAAGAGACAGACAGAGAGACATACCCAAGGAACTTGGAGAGGTAAGTGATACATATTGGTCTCAGAAAATTAAGGTGAAATGAGTCATCCTCTGTCATGTTAGTGAACACTGTGCTAGTAGTATCCCAATGTTTTAAACCTTATTTCCTTTTCTTGTACCAAGGATAATTCTGTCTAGACCAAAACACAAGCAAAGGAAAATCAAATCAAGAAGTTTAAAGCTAACCGCACACTTGGCACCTCTAACAAGATGTGGCATTTAAGGATTGGTTGATGAGATGGAAGAAGTGAGAAATTGTGTTGGTTTAGGGAAAAATTAAAAACCTTTCTGCCCTCATTCTGTGGCAGACTTTCTTGGCTCTCTGAATTCTAATACAAACTATATTTCACGAACTATTTTTTTTTTAAGTAACTATCTCACAGAACTTGAGTGAGATTTGATTTTGATACCAAAGACACTGCTGTACTGTTGATTGTTGTTAAGCTTTCCCAACAGTCAGAGGACAGAGCAAAATGCTAAAGCTGGGGAAAGCTTTACCTTGTCGCTCTTCCTGTTTCCTTCACTCCTTCCTTACTTTTTGAAAGATATCTTACTGGCCATTCTGGCTTTGGAAAGAGATTGATTTTATGCCTCCCTGCTGCTCTTTGAACATGGATTGTATCGCTTGGCATTACATTGATATTCTTGCAGAGCAAGAAACTTGAGAAGTGCAAAAAATAGAATTTTTATTTTCCTTTATCTAATCCTTACAAATAAAACTAGTCCAACCTGTTATATAACAGTCAATATGCAGTTATGAAGAGCAGACTACATGAAAGCCAAATGCTATTTTCTTACTCTCCTGTAGAGCTGTTTTCCTCTACCATGTTTTTAGGTTATGGCCTCTGGGAAGTTAAAAAGTTCATTGTTGAGGCATACTTTTGATAATGTAGATGGGGAGAGAGGGAAAAGACACAAGGTACTAATAGTCCAACAAACGTGATCAGGTTGCTAAACTTCATGAAAACTTTGTTATTCTGACATGTAAAAGTAGTGTTGATGTTGTGTGACTTTTCAAAGCATTAGGTAGGTTTATCTGGTAATAGGGATGTTAACAATAAGAGCACTTGAAACATGCTGTGGGAAAACAATGTATGAACATGAACATCATTTCCACTGTGAAAGTGAGGCTGCCGGCTTCAGGGAGGGAAACGGTTTATGATTTTTCTGCATCCCTGTGTCTGCGCACACTGCACAGGACTCCACTACCTTTGCCATCTTCCAGTTCAAACGCAGGACACTGTCAGGAAGTTAACAACCCCAGACTTACTTACTGGGGGAGGAGTGAAGCTGAGGTCTGCTGTAAAGTTTTCCCATGTTTTGTTTACTCGTTCACCACTGTTTAACATAACCACAACCTCACAAAAACAACTCAAAGCTTCTTTGCTAAATTGGCAGTGGTGTTCATCTCCATTGCTGTATCCCAGGTCTCCAGGCAGATAGCTGGCTACAGTGCTACTTCAACAAGAAGCGTGGAGCTCCTTACGTGATCTCCTTAGATAAAATGTGCAGTCCATGCCCATCCAGTCCTGAGAGAGTCTCAGGGTCTGAAAATTCAAGAGGAAATGCACTACATTTTCCCACACTGGTGTGACTGTCGCTTAGGAGCACTGTGGTAGGTTGGCTGGGGGCCATGTCTTCAGAATACACACGCTTTATAAGAAGTGAACTAGTTAGTGCTAGCCTGGTTAGGTTTAAAATTGCAAACCATGTGGGAATGGGGATGACGTGTTTGCCAAGACTGTGACCATATTACAACATTGGTTTTACACAGTAAATGGCAAATGGAGTCTCCAGATGGTGAGAGGCTTCTTCCACTCCTTACCTCTGCTTCCACGGGAATGTGTGCATTACTCAGTCCACAGGAGGACTCACTGAGGGAGGGACCCTCTTCCCAGAGTGAGCCTCAGTCATTCCTCTCCTCTGTGGTAGTAGTCAAGGCTAGGTGAGTAAGTGTGGGGTTTCTGCCCACCAGTTGTCCAGGAGCTGCCGTATACCTCATTTCTAACTCGTGACTAAGTAACTTTTGCTTTAACTTCTCTCAACCCTACAGAGTTGCCAAGTCTGCCCTCCCTCTTCTCAGCAGCATTGAACTCTGGCCTATAGCATCATAAGACCTGTCACCTAGGGTGGGACAGCCCCCCTGCCCCAAGCCTCTGAATGTCTTGCTTTGAAGCTACTACAAACTGAGGGCAAATTGCAATCTTCTGTTTGTTTTGTTGTCAGGGATCTTCTCTGGTCTCTTGTGTTTCCCCCACCCCACCACCTTGCCTTCAAGCACTGCCAGCTATCCTCTCCCAGATCTGCCCCATACTTCCAACTGCTAGACCCACAACAGCTACTGTCCTTGCCTTTTCCAAGTGGGGTCAAAGGCTGACCCTTCCCCTCTGGAGCCTTGGGGTCCTGCTCATTGCCAGGACTTAGTACAAAGTACACGAAAGGTTCTTTTAAGCTGACTGCCGCATACACATTTCTCTTGTTTCCTGTGTGACATGACCAAAACAAAAAACAAACAAAAAAAAAACAAAAAAACCAAGCCAAATATTTAAGTTTATTATTAATATTATTATAATTATTATTTGACAATCTTATATCCAGTGGGCTTTTTGGAAGCTGCATCCCTGGCCCTTTCAACATTTTCTTTGAATGTAGTTCTCAACTTGTAATCCCCACCCCCAACGTTGGGGGGAAAAATGAAAAGCTTAACCAGGTCAGGTCATAACACTGCTGCTATAAGCCAGGGGAGGGTGGTTTCTTTGTTTTGTTTTTCCATTTCCAGCCAAAACCAAAGATTTCTTAATGATTGTATAAACTCAAAACAAACAAAAAAACCAAAGAAAAGGGAAGTCTTCGGCTTCGATCCAGTCTGTGGTGTCCTGGCATTTAGAGACAAGCTCAAGGGCAGGTGAGGATACCCCTGACCAGCTCAAAAGGGCAAGCAAGCTTTTTTCCAAGTTGAGAGTTTTTTTGTTCAGGTGCCTGCTCAGTAGTTTTGACTCTTGCCAGTTTGTGAGTGGAACATGCAATGCATAATGCATAAAAAAATATTGGCATGTGACATTTTCTAAAACCAAAGCCAAAACCCCATCACCACCACAACTCAACTAACAGCAACCAGGGTCATCACCAGAGCTTAGCACAGCACCTTAGAGCTGGGAGTTGCTGCAGGATGGCCAGGGACTCCACAGATTGGGGATGCTGAAGACACTGGCACAGGATTGGCTGCTCTGCTGGGTGCTTTCACCTCTGGGGCTGGGTTTACACCCGAGGGGCCCTTCTGAGCCTTCTTTCTCTTTTCTGTACTGGAACTGCTTGGAAGTGGCTGTCCATTTGTGAGGAAACACACAGAGCGATTATCAGACTTTTCTTTCCTTGTTTGTAGTTTTATTTCTAGTTTTGTTTCCTTTTGCAGCACCACTGTGCAACTATGCATTGTATTTCTACAATGTGACTTTTTAACTTGGGGTTGGTTGGGTGGGTGGGTGTTTGCAAATGAAGGAGATTTTTACATGGATCTTTTTAATCTCAGTTGATTGGGGGAGGGAGGGTATTTGGTTCTAGGGTCATACAAGCTCTATCCCAAAGCAAAATCCAAATGTTAATAATATTAGCCTGATGCAGATACCAAAGACAATTTCTTTCCTGCAGAACCTTAGACTTGTGTACTAAGTACGATTACCCAGCACTTGCATTAGTCTAACCTCAATAATTCCAAAGCTTAGATGTATATTTTGGTATATTTCCAGGATATTAAAAGAAAAAAAGATGTCATTCACCTTCTTGTTTGTTTCAGTGTAATGCTCTTAAAGTCATAGCATGAAATACTTGCGCTGTCCTATTCTTGGTAGTTTGAAATAATAGTATTTTTGTATGTTTTGGGGTGTGTCTGTATGTATTAACATAACAGTTTTCACTGCCTAGGTGTTCGTAATAAAAATGAAAGGTTCTGAGTGTACATATTATTCAGTAATCTCCACAATGTCCACTTGAGTGTGGAGTCACTGATAACGCCCAGCTGGGGTCTGGTTTTAAAGAGACAGTGATTGTGTTTTTCTAAAGATGTTTATTTCTGTCTTTAAATATCTTAACTTCCCCACTTCCCCCCCCCTTTTTTTTAATTAATATTGATTCAGGGGGTGTTTTCCCACTGTTGTCAAGGGAGGAACACAAGGGGAATTGGCACCTTGAACTCCCAAAATATATTATTTTGTGTACTTTAAAATGTGACTTTGAGTTCTTTGTGGAAACTTAGAATATGATGTACATGATTCTTTCCAGAATTGTCCAGCAGCAGTAATGAGGCAGTGACAATTTCTGAGTAGTTGATTGGATGTCCTCTTACATTTCTCCTTAAGGTGACTGCAGTGGGTGGCTATTGTGTAGCCTCACTGCCCCAGAGTGTCTGTAGCCATTTCTCCTCCGGAAATATTTTATAAAAATCAGCTGGTAACTCGGGGCACTGGCCCTTGTTATCTGTGCCCCTGGGAAACCTGAAACACAAGCAGTTGTACTTGTTGGGGATTAGCTGATCTCCAGAGGCCTGGGGAAGTGGTGGGGGCTGTGAGTGGTGCTGTCTCTTTAAAAGTGCCCTTTATGTCATTCCCCCTTCTGGGATTGCCAGAGGGGCCACGGGCTTTGGGAGAGATTGTGTGGGTGCCAGTGAATCAGAATGAAATGGTGGGTTTGTGTAGATGCATTTGTCTGCTGTAATTTTTATATATATATTAAACTTACTGTAACTGTACAGTTCCAATTTCTGTTGTAAAACATTAAACCATTTTCCAAGTGTTTTCACATTGTCTGTGTCTCTGTGAGGTTGCTGCCTTGGTATTCTGGATGCTTTACACAGGCATTTGCCACAGATAACTCACATGGACCTTCCAGATCATTTCTCCCCACAGGTCCTCCTAGGAACCTCAGAATCTAAGCACCTTAGTCTCACACTTAACCTTCTGGCTTCCTTAGTGAGCTATAGTCACTGTGTTTCCTTTCCCCAGACCCTCAGTGGGGTTAGTGGAATCCTGAGTTGAGTATCTGTAGTTTCCTTCAGACCTGACTGCTCTATATGATCAAACACTGGCCCTTGATTGATCCTTCAAGGGAACTCCTCAAAGCTCGTCTCACTGTGTATGTGACTGCTGACTGGGACTGAACTGAACTCTTTGTGGGCTCAGTCATTTGACTTGTAGGCCCAGGTACCTGTAGCATTTCTTACCAGGCCCTGATCCAGGGGTGGTGGGAGAGGATCCTCTGAAGGAGATACACCCTGAACTGGCCTCTCTGGCCCTGCTGTGCACGTGCTAAGCACCTCTGCCTTCGAGACAGTTTGACATCTGGCACTTCATAGAACTCACTGATTTCATAAGGAAAGAGGAATATCCTAAAACTTCCCACTGAGAGAAGTGTCCCTTGACAGGCATTATCCTGCCAAGAGCCCATCTCAAAATGACAAAGTGCCCTCCCTTTTGCTCCTAAGTCAAATTAACTTGGCCCTTTCCATTCTTTCCCTTCTAACATTTATGTCTTGCATATAAGTCTATAAAGTTATTTTTAAGCAATTTCAAAATTTTAACATTCTCTTTGGTAGAGACAGTGACTCTAGCAAGCAAACCCCATGTGACATACCTCTGAAGGAGTGAGACTGTGACCCTTCCATCCTTTTATAAAGTAGCTATATTCCAGCTGTTCCCAAGGCCCCACAGGAAGAAGTTCCCTGCAAGACAAGGTGAGGAGCCTGTGCCCTGGCTCTCTGTGAAGAGGCTCTCATTCCCAAGACCAGGAACTGAACCTGGGCCTCTGAAAGAGCAAGAAGTGTTCTCAACCAATGGACCGTTTCTTCAGCCCCCATGATTTTTTTTTTTTAAGTCACTTGGCTTTACATTTTAACTACAACATAGGACTGATTATGTTTAACATGTTTTAAACCCTCTGAAGCGAGTGATAGTGTCTTACAACTAATTGTATCCAGAATGGAAGATCATGGTAACGCTAGAGTCACTGCCAGGCCTCAGGCAGGGTAGGAGTCCTGCCTCAGATCTGGAGCACTCCTCCCAGCATCTCTGGTTCCCCAATTCTGGGCACATCTGCTCAGGTCTCTCAAAGCTTGCTTTCTCTGTAGTTCCTTTGCAGGTGAGATCACCTGCCCTGTAGCTCGCTACCAACTCTCCCCTATTCCTAAGAGACATGTTCTCAACAGAACTGGGTCAAACTTATTTTGCAGCCATCTTTACTCAGCTGATCTTGAAATGAGGCCTGGATTTGAGGCACACTAAACAGCTCAGCCTCAGCCTTCAAGGTGAGTGGACAGCCCCTTGGAGACTGGGTTACATTGATGGCCTTTCTATATATGCTGGGCAGGATTGTTGTTGGAATTCTTAATTTTAAAGGTCTTTTAAATAGATGGACTTGGATTTCTGTTTTGAAAAAGCCAATGTGCAAATTTTAGTCTTTTATACATTATTAATTGGGCTTGGTGAACTGGGAAGTTACATAGAGTTGTTACACACAGAGGAAGTACTACTATAGTACTACTACTATAATGAGGGAAAGGTCACTTTTGGTGAGGGATGCTGACCTAAAAATACTGTCCACTCCCCACCCCTCTGCACCCACATGGCTGCTACGGCCACTGCCTTTCACTCCTGGATGCTCTGCCCAGAATGTTACTGCCCCGAGTTTTTCTACATTCCATAGCGAGGTTCACCTCAGGAAGCCTTTCTGCCATCCTTTCCCACTGGCCATTTCCCTATCTGGAGGCACAACCTCCAGCCTAATGCCACATCCTACACAAACACTGCCTCGTGGCAGCTTTCAAGATGTCTTCGTGTACTGGTATCCACCTGCCTATTCCCAACTGCATCCGTAGTTTTTCACTTCCTGCAGAGGCAAACCTGCTGATTTCCCACAAACCCCAGGCTTCACCACTGAAATAAGGCTTTAACAACAGTTTTAGCAAAGCATTTATTATGCAAAATGGTGAGGCTTTCTTCAGCAAGCCAGTATAAATTAAAACCCCGAGAGGGGAGGATCCTCCAGCCATGGCCACAGCCACTGCAGTCCTCTGAGTCTCATTGTGCCACTGCTGTGTGAGCACTGCAGACCTGGCCACTCAAGAAGGGATGAACCAAGTTCCTGGAAGAAGGCAGAACTTGCTCCCCTTTCTTTGACCCCCTTGGCTTAGTTCATTGTCTGTAATGACAGATCCTGTTTTCTTGTCTGTGCCACTTTGTGCACAAATCATTTGCGTGTTCTCCACAAAGGTAAGGCTTTTAACCTTCCCATTGAGTCTGGCACAATGGTTGGGAGATGTAGAAAGTGTGCTTGATGGAAGGCCCCTTGTAACTGTGCCAGGGACCTTCCAAGCATGTTGCTTGCCTTCTTTTAGCCCCCCTACCCCCATGGCGGACACTTGCCTGGGCTCCCTCCTACCTGCCTCTCTGCCTTTCACAATGTGGCCTAATTGTAGGTTATCTTGGTGCTGGGAAGGATGACAACTGAAGCCAAATTTACAGCAGGAGCAAAGCAAGTCAATGCCAATGGAACAATACAAACAGACCCAGGCCTTCTCTGGAGATTTTACAAAGCAAGCTGAACTGATCTGTGAAAGCAAGCCCTCACCCCTGACCTCCTGGCTAGGGCTTGGCTCTGCTGTGAGAAGGGTCTACCATAAAACCAGAGAACTGGGCTGGGGTGTGGGAGTGAGGGGAGCTCTCCCTTTAAAGGGTCCAGGGATGACAATCTTTGTACAGTGCTTTGGAACTGGAGAAGACAAATGTGACAACTGGAAGCATCCTCTTCATGAAATGGTGGCTGTGGAATTGATAAAGGAAGTTGTAAATAAATGCTTACTCCTCTGTCCTTCACAGTCGACATCAGCAGGTCAGACCTGTGAGTGGGAGACCCCTGGCGGTTAGCGAGGGGGCAGGGTCTGCATATTCAGGGCATCATAGGTGTCCTTGGTGGCGGTGCTGAGCCCCTGGTGAAAGCAAAGCACATAAGAATGAACAGAAGTCCACAGGTCCAAGTTTACTGTCTGTAGCTCATCCATGGATCCCATTGCCTTCAGCAGCTCAAGAAAATCACCTGCCTCATGCCACAGGTAGGTGGGGAGTCCTGCCTGAGAATGCTGACAAGAAGATGGGATCTTTGTACTGACTTGGAAGCAACGCCTTTCCAGCTTGATTCTCACCCCTTTCTTAACTTCCCAAACGGCCCTGCAGCACCAGGGCCCATCCAACTCCCCATCCAACCAAATAGGAAGGCAACTTTCCCAAGTCACAGACTAAGCTGGAATCTGGGAGGTACCAGAGAATCTGCTACCTGGGCCCACAGAAAGTCTGGACTAGTCACAGGGAAAGTGGCAGTTCCTTCACCTCGGTCCTTATCCAGGAGTTTCCAGTCTCTGGCCACTGTGGTATATATATTCTTTGGACAGTCAGGCAGGGCTGGCCCCAGTCTCACTGGAAAGCCTCTCTCTGTCCCAGGCCTGGAAAGGCCATGGGACCTCCACAGCTGCCAGTAAGCAGCTTTGAACAGCACTATGCTCAGGCAAGCCTAGCAACAAGACAGATGAAGCCACTGGGAGATCCCTTTCAGAAAAGTAGCTTCTCGGCACATAGTTTGCATAATTTGCACTGATTTACATAAACCAGGCACCTGATTACAATAACATTTTCCATTTGAAACTACCCTTTTTTTTTTTTTTTCTCAATGTTTCTGCCCACTCCCTTAGATCTTCCTAAGTTTTGGAGTTTAGGGCAGAGCTAAGCTAACAGTGGACAAAGAGAACAATCACCTGGGGAGGGTCCTTTACCTATTTCTGCCTACACCTCTGAGAGGTCCCCTCCCATCCTTTAGATAGGCTGCTATTGTCTGCTGTACCCAAATGGCATGGGGCTCCCACCACCCTCTAGCTAAAGCCAAGTATCTGGCTCCGCACCTGAGTCCTAACCCTGCTGTAGAGACATAATGGCAGTGGAGTGGCCTCTGCTCTGCTTGTGTGCCCTGGGTTTGCTCTCCCTGGCTGTTGACAAGGGTCGGTGCCACTAGCAAGCAAACCATGTCACTTCAGCTTTACCCCATGTCAGATAGTACTGCCCAGGAAGGAGACAGCAGCTCTCACCTGGTAAAGACCGTCGTGCCCCTTGCCTCTCCGCCTCTGGAAACAAGATTGGAAAGGAAGGGAATCAGATGCACTCTTGCTCAACCGCCCCCACTCAAGGAATCAGAAGGGGCTGTTTCCCAGCCAGCATTCCACTCCCCCCCCCACACACACACACGGTACAGAAAGGTGTCAGCCCACTGGCTAGACCTTTGCTTCATAGAGTAAGATGAACTTGACTCAGGGGCCAAGTTAACTGCCCAACTCAGATCTCGGGCATCTGGGACATTTTGCTGGCTGCTTGGGGTAAATGGACCTCTGCACAGCTCCCAAATCCTTTGCCATCAGAAAGACTCCCTGAGAATGGCAATTAGATACTGAGTGGTTCCGGGTGTTGATACCGAGTTAGCGCACATCTTCCTCCCAAGGGAGCTGACATCCTCTCCATGGAAGGCACTGACCACACATGCTGGCCCTATTCAGAATAACTCAATGCTCTGCCCTTGATATTTGGAGATTCTTATGAAATCATTAATGAACAAGGAGCCGCTGTACACCTTCACTCTCCCCCTGGGACCTAGTGTCAGCGCACAGTCAGCACACAACAGTGCTACAAACAGTGATATTACTTGGAAAGGTTCAAACTGCCTCCAGCAAAGCTGAGCCACAGACTTTAGGTTTGCCTTTCAGTCTCACCAGCTGTCCAGTGATGCCTTCACTTAGGACAGCCACCACATGCTGGGGGAAGAATGGAGGGGACAGGAAGGCTGATAGGAATGGTCTGGAAGACCAGAAGGAACCCGCCTGGGCGCCAAGGAAGAGCAGCACTCACCTCGCCTTTCATCCCAATCTCACTGTAGGCCTCTGCCATCTTGTCCTTCTGCAGCGCCTGAAGGAAGAGGTGATGTGGCTCCTTAAGTGATACACAGTGGGCCTTCCCCAGAAGCATCTGGATTCCCACGCTGGCAGGCTCCAGTCGTCAAGGCTCCCAGCCCCGGGCTTACAGACATTGCTGCCCACAACCAAGTCTCCTGTGCCCCTCAGCCTGACTCGAGAATCTCTATACATTGGACAGCTGAGGTTAGGTGCAGGACTTAGACCTGTAAAACCCAGCAGGGAGACTGGACGACGTAAGGGCTCCAGGGCAGCAATGCGTCACTTCTTTGGACAAGTCATCTCGTCCCAGCCGGTACCACAGGCTGTGGATCGCCCACGTGCTTTGTGTCACCACCAGTGGTGAGGAGCACCCAGGTGGCCTGATACTATCGCTTCACACCACAGTGGTGGGGTGGACTTTGCAATGAGAGAAAGTGCTCAGAATACTCCAGCCCGTGGGATCAGCATCCTCTCAGATAAGCCAGCTCTACACTCCTGCCCAGCATAGCCTGCAGCTCCCACCCTGTTCCCCAACCACTGGCTCGGAGCCCATGGAACAAAAACACAAAAATAAGCAACAACAACCACAAAGCAAAAGAGATGAGGTGCTGTGACCCTGCTCAGCTCAAAGGAATGTTGTTCTAAAGCTACCAGCCTGTGACACAGAACCATGCAGGGAAGGGTTGACCTAGACAGAAAGACGGAGAGCAGCCCCTCCCACAGCCTGCTTCCAGTTCCCTAGGGTGAAGGATGAGTTCTCTCACACTTACATTGTACACGCCTTCCTGGGGGTTCCTCCTCCTCTGCTGAGGAACAGAAAAGGGCAGAAATTAGATAGAGAGAATCCAGGCTGGAAAGTATAATCAACCCCATGCTGCCTGACGCACTGCCTTGTCCTGTGGCTCAGCTGTCAGTCTCCTCCACATTCCCCAGCCTTGCTCAGGCCACCCTTGAACCCCGGCAGCAATGAATTCCACAGCTCATACTCGGTGACCCATAGCTGCACACACACGTCACATGGGGATGGCTGGGGATGGCTGCCCATGGGCTCTCAGCCCCCTGGCAGATGTATTCCTATATGCACCATACACCGAGGCGCACGGGTCCCCTTCAGCAAGTCCTACTGAGATGTGGCCCCAGAAAACTGTGACAGCCTCCTTGCCCTTCCCCCACAGCCTCCTGGTCTTAAGAGCTGAGGTAGGAGGATGGAATAGAGGTTAGCGACTTTCTTACTTTCCACTCTCTCCAGCAATACACACCCAGCACAGAACTCAAGAGGACCTAGGTCAGGGCTGAGTGGACAGGTATGACCAAAAACACTGAGGACATTGGGTAGCACTGAGTAGTACTGACCTTAAACTGGACTTTTGTCCTGAGCCATGCTATTAGGAGACCTCTAGTCCAATCTAGCAGTCATCTGGCCCTTCCGCTCCCTACAGGAATGGAGTCTACAAAGCCAAGAGGGCACAGGCACATAGAGCCTGATGTGGCCAAGTTCTAAAGGGTTATTCAGAATCCAGGATTCCTTCTCCATGGCCTTAGCCCCTTCCTGTGTGTATCTTGACATCGGGGCTGTCCTATAGAAGCAAATGATGCTACAATGTGGCTAAGGAGCAGTGGAGGAGAGGTAGACAGCTTAGACATGAAGGCTAGGGTGACAAAGACATGTGCAGGGCTTCTTAGGATACAGAATGTAGCCCAGAGGAAAGGGAGGGTGGCAGCAGGTGCGTCTTTGTCACCGTCTTGTTCCAGGCCCTATCCATGTCACTGTGAGTCTAGTGCCCACTGTGCTGGGCTGAGTTGCCCTCCCTGTGAGTCCAGTGCCCACTGTGCTGGGCTGAGTTGCCCTCCCTCCAAGCCCACCCTCCGCCACCCTCCCTCCAAGCCCACCCTCCGCCAGAGGCAGAGGAGCTCCTTACCTGTTTGCCTCCAACCTCAGGATCCCGAGCCCACTTCTTGTCCAAAACGTCATACTCCTCTCTTCGTCCTAGACTCAGCTCCTAGAACAGGAGATGGGACCTTCAGGAGAATGGAGCCATGGCAACTGAAACTGGGTTTTGGTTTCCCGCCTGGTGGGCTCCACAAAAGGCAGCATGGGCAAGGTGAGGTATCTCAGTGGGAAAGACAGTTGCCTCAGAGCCTGAGGGTCTGAGTTCAATCCCCAGGACCCATGTGGTGAAAGGAGGAGGAAGAGAAGTCCTCTGATCTGTATGTGTGCACCGTGTAGCGCGCGCTCGCGCGCGCGCGCACACACACACACACACACACACACACGGGAAGAGAGGAGAGAGAGAGAGAGAGAGAGAGAGAGAGAGAGAGAGAGAGACAGCACAATAAAAAGTAAAAGTAATTTTACATTTTATTTATGTTATGTGTCTATGCAGCCACTGCATGCCTGCAGAAGAGGCATCAGACCCCTGGAACTAGAGTTACAGCTGTTTGAAAGCCACCATATGGGTGCTGGGGAAAAGCCTGCATCCTCTACATAGCACTATCCAGTTCCAGGAAATGCAATTTTTGGAAAAAAGCATGGACAGAGGCAAGTGAGGTGGTAGGAACCACTTCATCTTTATGCTAGCACCTCAGAAAATACCTGCCACCAGGATGGTGCCTGGCGGGAACCCCAGAGTCACCATGTGCTTTTCCTCCCGCTGATCTATCTAATGGAGTTCATAATAACATTTTCACATTAGCAAATGAAACCAAGGCTCCCAGAGGGAATCACACAGACCAAAGACCCACTGCATTTCTGTATGGTCCTTCCCCTGGTGCTGCAGCCTCTAGCCTTTGCAAATCGCTGGTGGCTGGCAGTTCACTAGAGGCAGGGTTGCGCCGCTGTATGCCCCCATGATTCATTAGAGGCAGGGCTGTGCCATGCATCTCATCATTAAAGCTCCTGGTCCTCATGGCAACACTGCAGGGCAAGCATGTTTGCTGCCCCAGTCTTAGGGTTAGAAAACTGGGGTTCCACAGCTTGCCACCAGGCACCAGGCTGATAGCTGTGGACAAGACCTGCAACTGAGTCTGGTCTTGGAGCTTCTCTGGGACCTAGGACAAGACTTTGCAGGCAAGTCTGCAGAGTGGGAACTTACATTGTAGAGCTGGTTGGAACCCTGCTGGTAGGCAGTAGCATCTACACTTCCGCTGAACTGCAAGAGAGCAGAGAGAATCACAACTCAGCACCATCTCCAAGACGGCCAGAGGGCTGGCTACAGTGCTGAGCTGGGTAACAGTCCCTCGATGCCTGCTGACAAACCCCATGTGCCTTGCTGCTGTGGCTATCCCTTGCAAGGGCCCAAGCTGTGGTAGCTGCCTTCTGCTTCTGAACTCAGTTGTCCTTTCTCTTGCCTGCCATGTGAGTGTCTACAACTTTAGTCTTGAGAGAAGCTAATTATCCCAAGTAAAGGCCTTGGCCCTTCCCCTGTGTGAAGAGGGCACTCAGTCTACACCTGCTGGAAGCCAGGGCACTCTCCTGTGCTCCTTCCTCCAGGGGTTCCAGGACACTCAGGGTAGACAGTGGTTACAAAAAGCTGCCTACTGAGTTGCCCCCTGGCATCATCACCAGCCCTTTCCTGAGTGCTTGTTCATTGTCATGAGCATATAACCCAAGCTGACATACCACCGAAGAGAGAAACTTCTGGGTTTGCAGAGTCAGAGCTCTGGAGGGAATCTTACAGATCAGCTAGGCATCATTTCTAAGTAAATAAATAAAATCTTATGCCAGAAAGGAAATGAATGGGTTATAGTGACCTGAAGGGGTCGGACATCTGTCTGCCCCAGATGTATACATGGTTCCACTAAACCCATGGTTTCAGGTACCTGGTGCAGACCAGTGCGCTGTCCAGCACTGCAGATGGGGAAATTGAGACTTGTAGAAAAGCTGATGTGGCTCAGTATCAGGCCCCAAGAAGAAGCTGCAAATCTTCCACCCACTTTTTGTCCCTAACTGCCTGGCTATGGGGCACCCTCATATCCAGCCATCATTAGTACAGATCCTCACTAACGCACTTACCATTAGGCTCACCGTCCTGCCCTGTCTGCTGCAGATGGCTACCCCACCTTCTCAGCCCACCCACTGTGCACACTCGGCTGTCCCCTGCCTTGCTCATGCACACCATAGGTCTGAGACTCTCCAATGCCAAAGCCCTGCCACACATCCTCCCAATGAAGGAACCCACATCCCCCCCCCCAAGAGCCCAGGGGAACCCACCTTTGCTCTCAGGTACAGGGCTGTGACAATGACTCCATAGATGAAGAGGATTCCATCTAGCAGGTAGCAGAGTTTGGGATCCAGCAGACCAAAGCTCTGTGCCTCTGTGCCAAGAGATAAAGCTATCAGTTGTGCTCAAGCTTACAAGAACACATTCGTCCTACCCCAGGTAGGCTTTATGACAGATTGAAACCTAAGAAATCATTCTAGCCAAGGACACTAGGTCCAATCCTCATACCTCACACAGCCTGCAACCTATCTCATATACCCGATCTGAAAAACCCAGCTGCAGTGGCCAATGCAGTGCCGACTAGGAGGAAGATGAAACTGTCCACCGTCCACAGAACTTCTGACTTGGTGACATGGAAGCCCAGCTTTAAGTGAGACCTTGCATAAACTGGACTCTAAGCTTCAGAAAGGTACCTAAGTCTTGGTAACTAAGACCCTCCTACAGAGACCCTAGGGGCTAAGAAAGGTGGGGCTTAGAGATGTAGTGATTTAGTTAAATCATCTCAATATCTATTCATTGTCAGTTAAGTTTAGGTGTAGTAGCCCACATTGGTAAAACCAGCACTGAAGAGGCAAGAGGATTGTGAATTTGAGGCCAGCCTGAGCTATAAGTTCCAGGCAGCCTACACTTTTCAGATTAGACCCCCTTCTGTTTCGTCACTCTCACTAATTTGATGGGTTCCTAACTCCTCCTGACTTTCTGATGTTTGTCATACTGCACTTAAAGCATTGTAGTTGGCACTATCGATAGATAAGAAGGGTAGGGGGTAAGGGAAAGGAAGATGCTAGTTAAATAGACACTGCCATTCCTATTTGAAAAAAAAAATCACACAGCGAAGTATGTTATTGATCTTGACACTAGGTAAGTATGTAGCAGCCAGACCTGAGAACTGGCCTAGTGTCACAAAACCCTCACTCTGCTCCTGCAGGGGGCAGGAGCGCCCTCTGGTGGCTGCTGGCCAGCCATGTTGGCCAGTGGTAGCTCGTGTCTGTGTACCTGGTGAGCCACCTGCACTGCAGTGGACAGCTGTGTTTGGCAGACAGGGGGGAAGGAGAAGGGGCGCTGTCATAACCCTAACTCTGTAATTTGGGGCAAGGTATCTTTCAGCTGCCCTGTGAAACAGGTCAAAAGTCTTCAGTGTTTGTTCTGTGTAGTGTTTATGACTTTGAGCGCAATCATTAAAGCCCCATTGAATCGCCACCAGAAACGCACTGAGAACTGTAGGTATGGAGCACTTCCGGCTGCCGGCACATGCCATGGAAGCTGGTGACTTAACTCTCATTCACTGTCCCTATGCCACCTCCATGGAGCCCTCCATCTTTAGCCTCTCTCCTTGCCCCAGGCGGAAGATATTGTCCTTGTCAACTTCTACAATCCCTGCTCAGCAACCATTGATGACCCTGACACTTCAAAGAGGATTGGAATTCTGGGCAACCCCGGAAGACTCTGCCTTTCCAGACCAAACTGGAAAGAATTCCCTGTCCCCTCTCCAACTGTCCCACATATTCCAGGCTGACCTTGAACTTACTATATAGCCAAGGACAACCTTGAATTTGTAATGTGCTTCCCCCACATCTGGAGTGCTGGGATTTACAGATGTGCACCACCATGCCTGGTGGTTCTGGGGATCAAACCCAGGGCTTCATGCGTGGTAGGAAACACTGTACCTACTCAGCCACATCCCAGTCCTTCTTCCTGTCCTTTATGTCCCATGCTCCCTTAAACTCACAGGTGCTGTCTTCTTCCCACCATGGCCACCTTGGCTTCACCTGCCTCCTCTAGGCCCCCACTGCTAGCTCTGCCCAACAACTGGAGAACGCAGGCCCACATCCAGCCATCTGGGTCCAGTGGTGATCAATGGATGGTAGAGATTGCAGAGCCTAGATCCCTGTATAGTTCTCTGGAAGTTCAGACTTCTTTTCTCAGGCTGAGAGCACTGGAGGCCAATGGTCATTTTCATTTTGCTTCCTGCCCCATCCCCCAATACCATGCCCAAGATGGACATTCATCAAATTTCCCACAGTTGAGAGGAAGGTATGTTTCAGTGATGGGGAGATGCCAGGCCCCAGCCCCAGGCTGCTCTTTGCACTAATAATTACCCAAGATCCCCCCAAAAGCAAGCCAGCCCCCAGTAAAGGCTACCAAAGCTGGAGTGACATTTTCTCTTAGGGCTGGAAATGTCAGTGGCGATTTACAGGGTGGTTGAAATTCATAGAGAGAGCCAGGAGAAAATCGCTCAGCTGCCTGCCGTGTGAAATGAGAACAGAAAAAATACTGGATAGTAAATTTAGAACAAATAAGAAGAAATATTTCTTTGTGTTGTGCAGAGTCAGCACAGTAGGGGGCAGGTGGGGACTTGGGCACCCACCCCCAAGGATAAGTAATAGGGACAGGGCTTCCTAGTCTCTTTAAAGAGCAGAATAGTTTTATAGCCAGCAACAGAAGAACATTAACCCAACCTTTTAGGGACTGCCCCTTTCCTCAGTCCTATGGCATGTGCACTGAGAGGGGTGAGCCTCAAGAATATAGTGATAGCCCAGAAAATCCCACACAAGAACTCAGGAGCCACGGCAGTCGCATCATATACTATCTGTTGGGCATTGGCTCTGTGCCAAGGGCTGCAGAACTAGAAAGAGGCTGGGTTGGGGGCAGGTGGCTTCCACTGTTTCACCTGCCACTTTCCAGCTGTGTGGTGCTAGAACGTAACCTCGCTTCTCTAGACCTAAGGCCTTCTGACCATAAAGCTGGGGGGGGGGCATGTGTATTTACCTTAAGGGCTAAGGTAAGAGTGCTTCAAGCAGGTGTAAATGGCAGAATTTCTCTTTCCTCTCTAAAGGCAATGGTGTCTGATATTTGGGCATTTACCCCAGCAGCAGCTCTTCACAATGCCACTTGTCATGGTGACTGTATTATTTCACTGCTCCTCTGACCCCCTCCCACCCCGTAGGCAGAGACCTGACCATCTCCTCCCCTGAGCCGCTTGCATACCCTGTTCACAGCTCTACTACATCCCATGCCAGGCACAGCACTCAGATGTTTCCCAGGAGGTATTCAGGGGGCTGCCACACTGCAGCTGTTTTCCTGTACAATGGGAGAGCCATTTTATTTTATGCTTCAGCCCATACTCCAGATCCATAGCCCTCAAGGAAAAAACCCAGTGCCTGAGAGAAAACCAAAAGCAGATTAAGGGTTCTACAGCCCAAACCTGGGAGCCTGCCTGCTTGTTAGAAGGGCTCCCTGGGCTCCCTATGGATGTTGACTTAGCCAGCCTGGGCTAGGACCTGGTAGGGCGACTTGTGTGCTGGCTGGGGAGACCCAGCATCCCACGGAGTTGATATAGCCCAGAGCATGAAGAGGGTCATTCGGCCTTCCACAGCTATGTAGCCATACCATCTACACAGAGGAAATTTCACCACTGGAGAGGAGAGCCACAGTCATGTTCTGTCCCTCTGCTCTAAGGCAGTGGCTACATGCTCCTGGCTCCAAGTGTCTCAAGCCTCCGTTTCCTCTCTGTATGAAGCAAGTAAGATTGCTTATCTCCTTGCTGATGGAGGGTTAGAGGTAGCTATACTTAGCAGGTGAAGGACCTGATTTGTTCCTCATAATGCCAGCTAGCATGGTCACCTCTATTTTTACTTTAAGCCCTTGAGTAAAAAGCTGGTGTCTTTGCCTTGTGGCAGGACACCTGGAATAGACCAAGTGAGACACTCACTCGGTGGAGGCCCCCAGGGCAGCTAGAGACAGCTCAAGGAGTATCTGTCAGAGTATCTGTCAGTTCAGATACTAATGTCCTGGGTCATTAGCAATAGTGAGTCTAGCCATCCCTGAACACCCTGTTGACACCTTCACAAGAGCCCTGGTTCAGGCGTCATGACACTGAGCAACAGCAGGAAGATTTTAAGCCCTAGAGGGCAGCCTGGGGAGACAGGAGTCTAGCAGAATCTCATTCCGCCAGTGGCTTGTCCTTGCATGGTGATGTCAGTGTCTCTCAGCCGGGATCATGCTTCCGACAACAGGGATTAGTTTTTAATAAGCCCGGGCCCATCATTGCTGCTGACACACCCTGTCCTGTCCTCACACCAAGCTCTTCTTGTAGCAAATCCGGTTGAGGAGCTGGGTATCTGCTCAACTACCTCAAACCATTTGACCACAGCATCTGCTGTTAAAATGACTTCCCGTGTCTGATCGAGTTTGACTCTGAGAAGAGTCCAGAAGGCAGGTAGAAAGCTCTGACGGGGCCCAGTTCACAGCTTGATAAACTGAGACCCGAGGATTGAAGCAATTTCATCAGGAACATCTGCCAATTAGTGGCAACACTGGAACGTCCCCTGACTCTGGAGTTCAGATGTTTCCCAGGAGGTATTCAGGGGGCTGCCACACTGCGGCTGTTTTAGCTGTGGAAGGCCTGACACTTCCTTGACCCTCCATCTTGGGGGAATCTCATCTTTAGTGCAGGCTCCAGAAGTCCCACCCATTTGTGAATGCATGCCTTTACTTTGGACACTTAGTCACAGTGGTGCATGACCATGTCACTTGGTATGTGTGTCTCTTCAGCAAGTGCTAGAAAACCTGGCTGGTTCACTCTGGTTTTCCTCACTTGGTGTACCACTAGCCAGGAGATGTGAGGAAAGGGCTAGGCCTCTGAGGCAGAAGGACTCTCGGAGTCCAGGTCGGAGTCTATTTTTCATTGGCTTAGTATTTGAGAGACTTCTTAACTCTGAGCTTCAGTCCCTACCTGCAAAAATGATTTAATAATACTGACACCACAGCATAGAACAGAGCAAATGAGGCCAACTGTATGGGGAGGGCCCTTGCACAGTGGCATGCGCCCACCTCGCTGGTCTCCAGAGGTGTCCTTGTCACACAGAGGCTGTGAAGGTACAAACAGCAGAAAGAGAAGAGGACAGGTCGTTTCCACCCCTCCATGCTAGGTTTGGGGACAGAAGCTGGGCAGATTCTACAACCCACAATGGTGAAAGCTGGCTTTCAGGAACATCTGAGGATAAAGCCAGATGGCCGATATGTGTGGAGGACCTGGCCCCACATCTGCGCTGCTCTGCATACCGTTTAGGAAACTCATTCTCCTTGCTTGGTCTGGTTTAATGCCCGGAACGATTTAGAACAATCCCACCGGGTTCACTGCCAGTTATGTTTTCACAGAAAAGAAACAGGGCTCCCAAAGGTCACCTGGCTGGAAAGTCCCCGAGTACACCTGAGCAAGCTCCTTCTCGACCCACTTTGTCCCAATACCTCAGTGATTCCTTCATCTGGATGGCTCCAGATTCTCCCAGGGACTTCTCTGACCAGTGCTCTGACCTCTGCTTGAATACATTGGGGGCGGGGGTTAAGAAACTCCTCACCCACCAACCCTGTGGAGAGCTCCAGTTCTCAATCCTTCAATTCCCACTTATGTCCAGCTTTTGTTCAGTTTATAGGAAGTGCTTCGGCATTGCAGGCAAGAACAAATCCTTGGAGGCCAGCCGATGTAAGACCAATGCCTGATTCTGCCATCATGTGACCATGAAACCATCCTAGGTCCCTCCCAGGCTAAATGGTCCTTCAGACCTTCTAAGTACTCAGTACAAAGGACTTAAAGTCATCGGTGGTACTCAAGTAGTTCACAGCTTAGGTAGGAACCTTCCTAGCTGCTAAGCTTCCCCAATTTGGAACTCAAGTTTAGGACCAGGGTGGTGCTGACATCCAGCCCCACCCCCAAGTCTCAGGCTCAACTGACAATGACATTGTAAGTTAAGAATTCAGAAAACAGGAAGTCACATGTTCTCAGGAAGGCAGTGGCACCAGCAGTGGGGGTGACTGTGTAGGGCAGAGTACTGGACATGGTGCCAACCCACTGACCACAACATAGGGACACACAGGCTTTCCCATCAGGGGTTTCTGCCTTTTACTTTCATTTCAGCAAGAAGGATATAAGCTAGATACATGACATAGTGGTGACAGCCATTAGCTGAAGGTTGCTTCTGTGCCTAGAACCAAGGTGAAATTTATGCAGCCATCACAGTGACTCTTACTGGACAACTGGGGAAACTGAGTCTCTGAGAGGTTTTGAAACACCATTTAGTGCTACTCTTGGCATCTTGATGATCCTCAAGACTGAAGAGAAGGATTCCAGAGCCCTTTCTTCTCCAAGGGTCAAGCCTATGTAGCAGGTTGTTCCTGGTTGTACCGTTTGTTTTAGTTGTTAGAGGCTGAGAGGCACCTGGAGTTAGCTGTCCTACACAGATTGCAACCAAAGGCCAGTACACACACTGGCCAGGTTCTTAGTGCCTGGCTTACCTGGAGCTGTTCTGATCTCTGACTTGCACAGAGACTCTACACAGTTTACAAGTGCCACACAGTATGCCATTCCCCACTGTAAGGTGCTCCTGCCTCCTCTACCTTCCCCGGTGTGCGGCTACATACATTCCAGTTCTGAAGCTGTTAGCCTGGTCACAAACTATCTACAAACTACACATTCCCATATACAAAGAGTCCAAGTAGAGAAAGAGATTATTTTATTTGTTAGACTTGAAGTGATCATGGGGTGTGTTTTTCCCTTTCTGCATTTTTATTTCCATTAAAGTTGTGGTTTGTACAATATTTTTACATTTTTTCCATGATTGTTTTTTCCTGTTTTCAAGTAAAATGAACTCATGATAGAAGTGCAGGAAGGTAAGAGAAACTATCAAAATCCCTCACGGATTTCATCTCTAAGCACAGCCTCTTATAACGACAATAGCAGCTTGCCTCCCAAAATGTCTGCTGCTTATCACTTGCAATCATCCTGAATCAAAACAGTTTTCCTGAGTTTTCCTGAAAAAAAAAAAAAAAAAAAAAAAAAGAAAAAACCCTTTGCTTTTCTTCAGTCTGTACTATAACTTTTCATATGTTCATAACATTTTGTGTTGTTTTATATAACCATGCTTCACATTTCAGGGTACGTCATAGTTTTACTGAATATCTTAAATTATTTTTTCATCTCTCTCTCTGTGTGTGAGTGTGTGTGTGTGCTCGAGCTCGTGCATATGAGAGGACACACTCATGTCAGACAGCAGCTTTCTGAGTTGGTTCTCTCCTTGCACAGTGTGGGTTGGAGGAATTAAACTCAGGTCATCAGGTGTGGGAGCAGGTGTCTTTCTCTGATGAGCCTGCCCCTAAGTATCCTTTATTATGGCCTCCTAATGATCCTTTCACTATTCTACAGGTGGAATATATGAACAACATGTAAAACAATGTGCATATAGGGCCGGGTGTGATGGTGCATCCCTCGCACGAGAGGGAGAGGCAGAGGCAGGAAGGTCTCTGAGTTCGAGGCCGGGCTGGTCTACCTATTAAGCTTCAGGCTATCCAGGGAGTACTCAGCAAGACCCTGTCTCAACAAACAAACATACAAAAAAAAAAACAAAAAACAAAAAACACCAAAACAACTATGTATGTATAAAGAACAATATACACATATGGTGTACATATTTACATATCTGCATACCTCTACAGAGACGGGGGCGTGGTTTGGGGGGAGTCTCACTCCTTCCTCTTGGTGCCAGCTTGGGCATGCGGCTGCCGACTGTCACAGTCATGGTCAAACTAAAAACACCGGCTCCTCACTTTCAGGCTAGAAGTGCTTTCCTCGTTGTTTCATTTGATGGTAACAATTGACTGAGGTAAACTGGGACGGGGGGAGGCCGTCCTGATTTGCTCCACTTTATAAAAAGGCTGAAGGTCAGGGAGGTAAAGTGACTCTCTGTGGTCTAACAGCACACATGTGGCATGGCTGGATGGAGAGGCCAGTCCTCCTCAGGCCTTTGTTCTCTCTCTCACAGCCCTCACATTATACTCGGCACATTAGACTACTTAAAAGAAATCTACTTCAGATCACAGGTTCTGTCAAAATGCTAAGCAGGATTTTGCCATTTCTCTAAGCATATAACTTATTCTTTATAAAAACTCTTTGGGGGGCTGGAGAGATGGCTCAGAGGTTAAGAGCACTGACTGCTCTTCCAGGGGACCCATGTTCAATTACTAGCAACCACATGGTGGCTCACAAGCATCTGTAATGAGATCCGGTGCCCTCTTCTGGTGTGCAAGCATGCATGCAGATAACTGTATACATAATAAATAAATAGAAAGAAAGAAAGAAAGAAAGAAAGAAAGAAAGAAAGAAAGAAAGAAGGAAAGAACTCTTGGTATATAGTGTTTACAAAAATGTTTATTGTATCATTATCTGCAGAAGAAAAAGAACCATAAAAATAACAAAAATGTCCACCAACCAGCAGGAACCTGATAAATTGATGTACTTATATAGCAGTTAAAAATGGCCCCAGAAGACTGGGGATGTAGCTCAATGGGCAGACTGCTTGCCCAACGTGCAGAAAGCCCTAGGCTGAATCTGCAACACATGTAAGCCCAGCCTGGAGATGATCAGTAATTTAAGGCCAGCCTCGGCTACAGGAGGCTACAGGTGTGGAAAAATAAAAACCTCACACTGACAACAGAATCCTTGCTACTTTGGAAAGTTTTCCAGGATAATTAGGTTAAAATTAAAAGAGCAAACAGCAAGCTCTAGAGTGGTATATATAGGATTTTTAAGTAAAAAGAGACACATATAGACTACATAGTTATGAGTGCATAAAAACTGCATCTGTATCTAGATTCAGTATTGTTTATGAAAATATCAGAAATAAATGGTGGTGACGGTGCTGTGGCATTGTGGGTATTCATACCACTCTGTCCCACTTACAAATGTTAAAGAAGGAGCCTAGACACAGCTCTGTAGAACTTTCCTAGTGTGGGCAAGGCCCTATGTTTAATATATTGTCCTCGGAAAGAGGACATATCAGATAGTAAACTGATAAGAACAGATACTACACTTGATCTTAGTAGTCAAAAGGCTGAGAAGCGATCAAGGCCCTATGTTTAATCCCCAGCACTGCCTCTATCCCCCCCCCCCCCAATAATAGGGAAACCGGCTCAGTAGGTAAAATGCTTGCTGCTTGAGCATGAGGATGGACTTGAGTTCAAATCCCCAGAATTGACATAAAAGCCCTGTCAACGGCCTGCAAATGGGGTGGGGGAGCAGGAGGCAGGTGGATCCTAGGAGCTCCCTGAGCCCCATCAGTGACTCTCTGTGCTCGTTTCTACGTGTGTATAGAAACACTGAGTGCCGGCACTGTCGCTATTGTCCAAGGCTGCAGAAGTGAGACATGTTCATTGTACAAACCCCCAACACACACTTAGCACCAGTGGGGCCGGACAGGTAAAATAAGAAGCAGTCCTTAGTCCTTTAGAGGCTCCTCAGTGGGTCCCGCCCTAGCCAGGAGGCGGGTATACAGAACTCTCCCCACGTTTCTGGGCCTCAGGAGTTAAGGCTGCCCGAGTTACCCAAGGGAATCCATGCGGCCAAAGGAACCAGGACGGCTGCACGGTCTTCTTGGAGCTGATTTTGGTGGCCCAGTTAGTTATTCGGGGTACTGGGTGGGGAGAGGTTTGATAGAACCGACAGTGAAACCCAGGTTTCTGTCACCTAGCTTGCCTTCTTGTGGCTGGCAGCTCCCGGGGGCGGGGCTGTCGGTGGCCCCGCGGGGACCCCCTCAAACTGCAGGAGTCTGCCTTGGAGCTTGCAACGAATCAGGCTGTGGGTGTGGCATCCCGCCTAGTCGGGATTGGAGGCTGGGGGGCGGCGTGCCACTCTGATTTTAGATCAAATTTGAACTGCAAAGAGGGGGTCTGCTCACAGCCTGCCCTGGGGTCTCCTGCGATGAACCCTAGGTGCGTCCCGAGAAAACACTTGAAATGAGATGCTGCTGGGTTTTTTCTCCATCCCCACCTAGCTAGTGTCCTGGCGTGAGAGGAGAAGGGTAGTGTGTGTGTGTGTGTGTGGGGGGGGCATCAGGCATGAGGCCACTGCCCCACGGCGGCGCTGTGGCTGTCCCACCGGCTGCGAGCGGTTACCGAGTGGCACCCCTCCCCCCACCCAGCCCGCAGCTGGCTCCCTGCTCGAGGTTTCCTGTCGAGCCGCCCCATCCTGGGCCGGGTTATCGCCGGTGATCTCCCATCTGAACAACACACACACCCCCACGGCCGCCCCCACTTGCGGTCCGTGTCCCCGGAACCGCACCGCCCCCGGACCCTTCGCAGAGTCGCTGGCCCCGGAGCGCTCGGGGTGGGGGGGCGGCTGGGGGCTGCCCGGGTGCCCCCAGCCCTGAAAGTCAAGGAAAGGGCCGGTCCCAGGAGCTTGTCTGGCTTGGGGCCAGTGACCAGAATAAAGCCAGCCCACGCTCACGCCTGTCCGCGGTGGCATGGCGGGGACCAGGGGCAGGATCCTTAGCTCAAGGCCCGGTGGGCCGAAACTGGCAGGTGGGGACTGGTTCCCGCCCCAAAGCACCCTCCACCTCCCTCTCAGAGAGAGCGGGGGTGGGGGGAAGCAGAAGGGCTCTCTGCTCTCACACAGGGGGACTCCAAATGTCGTCAAAACTGCCACTCAGAGAGAGCTGCTTTCATTTCGAAGCCCCATCAGCTAGGAGCGCGCCAGGGCTTCCCTAGCTCACATACCCAGCAGGTAGAGAAACGCCGATTTTATTCGCCCCATCATTCAAGGGACATTAAGATGTGATGTATGTAAGCTGGAACAAGTCCAGGGCTGCGTGGCCATCCATTCGCTGCAGGAGCAACGGGATAGGCCTATGCTGGCATTCTGAGTTGAGCTAACCAGTTCTCATGAGAAGACACTCAAGAAAACTACAGATGCACATACTTTGCCTCACAGAAAAAAAAATGCATACATACATACTGTGTGTGTGTGTGTGTGTGTGTGTGTGTGTGTGTGTGTGTGCTAGCTCCAAGGTGTGTGGAGGGGATTCTTCAATCTGTTTGCCTTTGAGCAGAGCTGACCAAGTCAGCAAAAGGGTTGCAAAGTCTGCTTGGGGTCCTTCTGTATTGTAATCATTTGAGCCTCCAGGGTAGAGTGTTTAAAACTCTTCCCTGGTGTTTTACTCTTTGGGAAACACTGCTTTCTGGTGTTTTTACTCTTTGGGAAACACTGCTTTCTGGGGTTGATAATCTGGAAATTTCTATAAATATAAACATATTAATCCCCCAGCATTTTCCTACTCTCTGAGGGAGGGCAGTCTCAGTATTCTCTCAATAGGAATTCAAGCCTCAGTCTGCCCCTTTTTTGTAGAAACACCCAAGAGAACTGACTTTGGCATTGTAAGGGTATCTTGTGTGCATCATTCTCATTTTGCCTTGTCAATGTGGACACCATATAGCGCATGCCTCTATTTAAAACACACATGAGTCCTAGAATGTTCTGTTCTCCCATTGCCTTTCCTCCCATGAAGTTGTTCTCTGAGGACCAGCAGGGAGGCTGCTAGTGACAACCCTGGGAGACCTCACACCCACCTGTGTCTTGGTGGATTCTGAAACAGGCACAGGATGCCAGCCTGCTTAGGGGCAGGGTGCCATGCTCTGTTAGCCCTGCAGGCAGTCGCTCTGGACAACTTAGAAGCTCAACGGACTGCTGCTGAATGAGAGGTGGGCTGGATGGGGGTGGGAAACCTCAGTCTGTAACATATTTCCAGTCTTCCTTTGCACAATTTGTCGGAGAGAACAAGTCTAAACCTCCTGCAGACCAGAATGACAGTGAAGGCAAAAAGAATGAAAACAAAAAACAAAAAAACAACCTGCAAGAAAAATGAAGTTGATGTCTTTCCCCTGCCTAGACCTGACTCATCTAAGATAGACTAGGAGCAAACTCAAACTCATCTAGTTAAGTCTGGAAGGAGAACCCTGTTGTAAAGTGAAGCCAGGGGAGCACACACAGTGGTGCTCTCAAGTATTGCAGAGTGCTCCCACCCAGATACTGCCTGTCCTCCACTCTCAATCTTTTCCAAGCCTTTCTCAGCTTTCCCGTTGCACTGAGACTTCCTCCTTCAGCCCACACCAACCTCATGTCCATCCCGGGTCCCTCTCCCTCCCCCAGCACACTTTATTCTATGCTGTTCTTTCCTAGTCAATGAATTCCATGATGCCTCAGGGCAAAAGCCATGGTTTCTAGTTCTTTCCTCTCTACTCGGTGGGAAGCCCAGTTTTAGGCAGCCCCCTCCCACCTCATTAATAACATAATTGCTTGGATAATTAGGAGACTGATTGATTGGCTAAAGGTCATTAATGCTATACAATAAATGAATCTTGTGGCTTACATTTCAAAGAGCCTGTATGTGAGACTCAGAAGAAACCTGCCCCTGCACCCCCACCTCTACCCCCACCCTGTGGGAGCTTTGGCCAAAGCTAGCACCCAAAGTGTGGTGTGAGACCTTTGTAAAGTTATTTCTTGCTGGGTTCTTTGGTTCCTAAATACATTGTTAACAAGCAACTTCTCTGGTTCTGTTCTGCTGGGTCCAGCTCTGGGATCCAGGGTTCAAAGCTAGTCACCAAGAGAAAAACTGCTTATGAGTTCCCTAGGAAGTGGTTACAAAGTGTCACATTCCCAAACTGCCCTTCACATTCCCTTTGATCCAGGAGTTGCTGGCAATGGCAGGAGCTTGACAATCTGACCTTCTTTATTGTAGCCCTCCAGAAGGTTGGCCACTACTGCTTTCTTGGGTCAGGCTCCGGCTGTGATCAGGCCTCTGTCCTGTGTTTGAAAAAGACCTAGGTCCTGTTGGGACAGGAGTACCTGGATCAGCATCCTTCTGATGACTGATCAGAAAATACACCCAGAGTTCATCAGGAATGGGCTGACCGCCTTCTAGGAAGAACAGCCAAATTCATCCTTCCATTCAAGCTCCGGTTGCCAAAGCTCTCACCTTTCAACACTCAGCATCGATGCCCCCCACCCCAGCACATTTCTGTGCTGTGTTCAAGAGGTGGGTTCCAGTGGGTTCTAATATATAGGGTAACCTAAAAGTCAGAAATCATGGGGTACATTTACAGTTAAACAGGGACTACTGTGTGCCTGTGGTCCCAGCAATTCAGGTGCAGAAGCAGGAGGATCACTTGTGTCCTGCAGTCAAGACTGGCCTGGACAACATAGTGAGACCTCAGCCCAAAACAAAACATGCAAGATCTTTTTACAAATAATATATTCAAATTTGAATGTGCAGAAACAGATATAACAAAGCCCACCCATACACCACCTCCGCTGTATGTCCAGGTCTTTTGGACACCTGTATTTCTTAATAGTTTTTTTTTCATATTAATGATTGTGTCCATTATTTCAAATTCATAGGTCCTGAGAAGGTGTCTGGCGATTGGAGTAAACCCATCGAGCCTGTTATTCAAGCCTGTAGCTAATGCTCCCTTCATTGGTTTTCAGTGCTGAAGACTGAGCCCAGGGTCTCCTGTTTGCACAACTCCATTTTCAAAGTAAGTTTGGTCGTTTTTTCTTAAATTATTTTTCTGACACTCTATTGTTCTGGGCCCATTTTTCACTAATTATTTGATGAGAAGTCCCCTTGTTTTAAAAACAAAAACAAAAGGCAAAAACCCAGAATTCTGCAAGGGGGAGACATATTGTATCCATCACTCAGCAGCCAGCATGCCAGAGGCCACAACAGGGTTAAGAATGTAGAATGCCCAATGGCTTGCATCTGTATCCATGCCTTCTGGGCTGAGCCTAGAGTGATCGACCACCGCCTATCCTTCCTGTGCTATCTGCTCTCCATGCCTAGTCTCCTAAAACGCTTGACTACGACAAAGAAGCGGAGAATGCAGCCTCAGAAGCATCTGCCCGGTGCATAGCAAGGGGTAGAAAAGAGACCCAGCTTTTCCGCTAATCCTGCCTCCTGGGTGACTGTTTTCTGAGTTCTGGAGGCTGGCTGCTTCGCTGGGGAACGGGGCACTTGCATTTCCCAGGCTCTGGATGCTAGAATGAAGCTGCCAGAGCCGTGCAACATCACAGTCCTTTCCTGGAGGTGTGTTTGTCAGTTTGGCAACCCTTGGGTGCCCAGCCCACGCTCTGCTAACACTCGCCTGTGACGTACTTCGCGTGGATCAAAGACCCACAAAGCCCCCAGCGCCTGCAGCTGTCAAGCTGAGGACTCACAGGGAGCAGAATGCTTCGGGTATGGGCGGTGGTGGGCGGAGAGCCCGCCTTTGTGACTGCTCTGTCCCAGGGAAGGAGTGCACCCTGCTGGCCACCACACTCAGCCTGGCCGCCCCGTGTTCTGCCTAGGGTGCCAGGGTAGCCTGGGACAAACTACACTGTTCAACCTGTGGTGCTCTTCGGTTGCTGCATAATTTGAGCGTCCAGGATGTCTCACCAGGATGGCCAGGGACCCATGAGAGCCTCAGGGTGCACCTTAGAACTACTTCTGTTGACTCTAAATCTCAGATTATACTTGATCTACCGAAGAAACACTGGGGGAGGGGGGTACCACAAACCCTTAACAGTGTTTTCAACTCGGACTTGTGAAATTATGGGTTATCTCGTTATTCTTTGTGCCTCTTATTTACCCAGCTTCTACAATGCATACAAATACACAATTTTGAAAGGAGAGAAAATAGTCAAGGTACAATCCTGTTTTCATCAACCAGACCTCCTTCTACCAACCTCCAGCCCAGCCAATTCTCAGTTTCACTTTAGGTCTGTGACTACCTAAATTACACTGCATTTGTACACATGTGAACACACATGGGGGGGTGTCACAAAAAGGACAGCTGATGAGATACTGAAGTTGCAGGTTGGTTCTGATCAATTCACCCATTAATACAGGAGTCTGAATAATTAGTAGGGTAAAGTTACATAAGGGTCTTGGAGGCCCAGACAACCTATACAGAGCCCAGATCCTCTGACCACAGGGATGTCTTCATGCCCAGGACACTAATGGAAATGTATCTTTGTAACTCCTGCAGCTCTTAGTATTCTTTTCTCATTTCCCAGGACAAGCTCTAAGTCCAGCTTGAGGCTGTTCTGAAACCCCCAGTTAGCCTTGCTGGAGTTCCTCCCCAAATGCAGCTGGAGGCAGAAGAGGCAACCTCAGCTTCCGAGGCAGTCCTTTGTGTGTCAGCCCCTGCTGGCAAAGATGTCAGCCCCAGCTTGGGAATACAGTCTCTGCTCTAGACACCTTGGTGCTGAGAAGGCCTGGAGGCTGCTTCCCCAACCTAGGTTTTGCCCATGATGTCAGGAGAATGGACCAGTCAGGGAAAGAGGCCAGTCTGATTCCCCACCTGCTGTAAAAGTCTGTCTTCCCTTCCTAGGGGGCTGCTGCCTTCCCAGGTGCCCACCCCCTGCTTGTCTCAGGTCACCCTGTCTTCGGGCCTATATACTTTTTCTCCCTGCTGTCTCCTCTTTGCATTTCT